CAAATTGGTGCCAGAAAAAGAGCTTCTTAGGGAAAGCAGGAAGTGACATTTTAGAGGAGCATTCCACTCAGTATCTTCTCACTGGAATCATAGAGCAGTAGAGTTGGGAGGCCATTGGGTCCAACCATTTGCCTCAAGTTACACCATCCCCCTCAGATGACTGTCCAGTTGCATCATGTCTGCCTCTAGTGTTGGAGAACCACAACATTCCTAGGTAATTGGTTTCATTGTTGTACTGCTGTGACAGTGAGGAATTTTTTCCCTGATATCTTGCTGGAATCTGTTCTTCTGTAACTGAAGTCCATTATTCCGTGTCCTGCACTCTGGGATGACTGAGAAGAGATCTTTCCCTTCATCTTTGTGAAAGCCTTTCAGGTACTTGTACAGTGCTATCTTATGCCATTCCAATCTTCTCAAGGCTGAACACTCCCAGCTCTCCTCAATAGGGCTTTGTTTCCAGGCCTTTGATCATCCTTGTTACCTCCTCTGAACCCTTTCCAGCTTGCCTGCATCTTTCTTAAACTGTGGTACTCCAGATGAGGTCTGACTAGTGCTGAGTGTAGGGGAACCAGTACTTCATATGATTAGGAAGTAAAACTTCCTTTAATGCAGCCTAAAATAGCATTTGCCCTTTTTGCAGCCACATCACATGGTTGACTCCTGTTCAGCTTGTGATCTACAGCAATGCAGATTGACAATATTGTTGAGCCAAGTATTCTCCATCTTGTAGCAATGCATTTGGTTTCTTTTTCCTAGGAGCAGGACTTGGAATTTGTCCCTACTGAATTTCATTCTGTTGTTTTCAGCCCAGCATTCTAACCTATCAAGATCATGTTGGTTTTCTGTCTTCCAAGGAATTAGCTATTCCACCCAGTTTTGTGTCATCTGCAAATGTGATATTTCCCTGTATTTCCTCATGCAAATCATTAATATAAATGAAGAGCACTGGGCCCGGAGCAGAACCCTGCAGCACCCCCTTTGTTGTGTCTTCCCAGTCTGAGAAGGTGCCATTGATGAGCACTCTTGCAGTCCAATTTTGTAGCCAATTGTGGATCCATTTTAATAGATTGAATAATGAAAGACACTACCATTCTAAGATGAAGCTCTTACCCTAATTCTAATAGGCAGAGGATGGCACCTAACTACACATTAAGCAAATAAATTTATTGGCGCCTTGAAAGCATTTTTTAAATGAAATCACATACCAGAGAAAGGAACTTGGAAAAGAAATACTCAAGGAGTAATTAGCCACAGCAGCTCCGCCATTCTGCTCTAAATTTCCTTCTCCTGAAGTTATTTATCTTTCAAGACAAAGAACAAAAACAGGCATCAAATGTCTGTTTATAGGTAACTTGTGGTTCTTACACACTAACATTTGTAGCTGACATTTGGCTTTCACCTTTGAGGAGAAGATATTGTGAAGCAGAAGATAACTGAGATATTCAAGAGAAATAACCCAGCAGCTCAAATAATTCCAGTCTATGTTGGTTTATTTTCCTCATACTCTGACTACTTCTATGTCAGGGGCAGGCAACCTGATATCCTCCAGATTTTGGAGACTGCAGTTCCCACAAATTCCAGCCAACATTGTCAGAGATTATCGGACATGTAATCCAAAATGTCTGCAGGGTACCAGGTCACCTACTACTACTCTGTTCCAGTTTGTAACAAAACAGAGAGGAAACTTGACAGCAATGTTATTATCTCATTTACTTACCAAAGCAACATAAGCCTTGTGAGTTACCCTGAAAAAGTCCTGGAGTTGGATTTCCCCGTGTTCCTTGCTCCACCACACCACTTATGGAGACTCATCGCAATTAAAATCTCCTTGGGGGAAGAGGGAATATCTAATAAGAATAATCTTTTTCTGTAACCACAAATTGCAGGATAAATACAGAGTCATGAAATTTCACAGTTACTATCAGATCAGCTAAAATTTTGCTAGGCCTGAACAAAGGTTAAGTTTTGCTATTCCAAAACAATGAGTTTTATATAGTTCCTGACCCTCCTCTTCTTATGCAGAAATTCTGGTTCATATCTGCAGAAAACCACAGCTTTCCATTGAAGAAGCAAAAAAAGAAGCAGATGTTAGTTTGTACTTGCCTGCAAACAAATCAGAATCACAAGTAAGGTTTGGCCTTGATTTGTCATTATTATTTGCAAGAAAAAAACCAGTTTGCTTGTTTAGATGAGAAACTGAACTACTATTTCTGAAAGTAAGGACTGGAAGTTACACAAAGCTACATGTAAAGGGAAGGTGAGAAGGAAGGAAGCCTGTGTAAATATCTTTCTTCTGACTGTTCATTCTCAGAAGAGCATTAAATCATAACAGGCTTGCAAAGAGACCTTTCCTACTTCTGATCTTTTAATCGCTGTTGAAATAATAATCGCTTTGCAAGCTCTGTGTATGTTTATGGACAGGATAATACTACTAACTCATCAGAGGTGGCAGGGGAGAGAAGGCAAGAAAAGTCTGTAGGTAACTGATGAAAAGGCAGTGATCCTGCACAAATCAAGTGTGTAGAAAGGTTTGTAAGCTGCAGAGTTCATGATAACAAATTTTTGGTTCAGTGGTGCAATATATGCATGTAAAGTTTGAGTTTGAAACCCTGAGCAGGTGTATGTGTATCTGTATATAGACATATAGATATTTTTGAATGAACAAGAAAAAGGCTGTGCTTCATGGCAAAAGCTTTATTCCAACTCCCACTCTGCCACAAAAGACCCGTGTTTTTAACCAAAGAAATGAAAAGGTAAACACATGTAACCATGATGGGGGTAGCACTGCCAGTCGAATGGATGTGGTCTGCCCTCTTGTGGAACTACTTTGCATTGCACCTTGATTAACAGCAGAGAAATCTGACATTTTAGAAAATAAATGCAGGAAAGTGAAGTTGTCACTGGATCTGGACACTCAGCAAGGTTGTTGGGCATGCATAATTTGCCAGCTAGCCAGAAATACTTGCCTGGAGGAGGCTGTGTTTCTGGAAAGCTGCAGTACTTACTCAAGCCTTCACATCATTTGAAGTGTTGTCAGTTGGATTGCTCAAAGTTTGCATGATGGAGATCTTTTCAAGTGAGCTAAGCCAGCCACTTGTGCTTTTGCATGACTTTCTTTGAAATTCTTGTGGGCTTCTAATGCTTGGTTTTTGTTCTGTACTTTAAGCTTTTGAGGCCTTGATTATTTTAGACAAACTTTTGGTAGGTACTCATAATTCTATTTATATATCTGCTTTATTTTGGGTCTATTATATTGCACACTTTCTTGATTAATTCATTATCCTGAGCAGTGCACATTTTGGCTTCTGGGTTGGGTCCTCCTCTCTGCCTCCCTCTGAAGATGCAGCTACCAATGCGGTAGGTGTGGTTACACCTGCTTCTTTTGCATTTGAAATGCCCGTTGTAACTTATTATTTTATTTATACATTTATTTAGTTGATATGCCACCATATAACAAAAGGTTCTCAGAATAACTCACAAATTAAATCAGGAATCCTTTCCATTCTTGAAAATTGCATCTTGAAAACTACTGGAGCAATATAATGGCAGCATTTAACCACAAAACCAAACTGTTCTTTTTGCATAGGAGGGCTTGTTTGGTTTGTTTTTATTTTACTGGTTACAGTGTCGGTAAAATGTCTCTCTGTCCCAACTTCTAATTTATGCCAAAATATTAACCAGAACACACCAGTGGATTATTTTGTGGCCAGTTTAACTCTTCTTAATGTTCTGTATGTAAAAGTCTTGCCTTTGAGGTGAGGGATTTGACAGGGCTTGTCCGCAGGTTGTGGATGTTCACTTCCATTCATCGAGGGTCAGACTTTGTGGAGGCCCAGGTCATTCCCCTGGAGCTCACTGCCTCTCTGATGGTGCCTGGGATTGGAGCCAACAGGCTGGTAACATGAGCACCTGCTCTTAGGAAGCCTTCATTGGCTGCATAACCATAGGAGACAAGGCAAGCTGTCAAGTTTTTCCCTGCCCCACTTTTGGAGATTACAGGTGGAAGAGGCTCTTGGACAGTGTAGAGTTGCAGAGTTTCTACTGCCTGGTGCACAATAGCAGACTTGTTCTAACTGGAGTATATCCCAAATGTATCCTGAGTCCTCCCTGCTGCCCACAGTTGTAGCATAAAAGGTCATCCCCTTGGCTGTGCCCTGGAGGCAGGGATGGGCCGCCCCAGCCTGCAAGCCCTGGTCTAATTTCAAAATCCTTTTGCAGGACTTCAGTTCAGACTTGAGGGAGAGGACAAATGGGGAAAATTAAGGGGGGAAAAACATGGTGGCTTCTCCTATCACTGGGTTCAGTTCAGTATGGAGATGGCATGCAGCCCTAACAGGAAAGGAATGGGGATCCCACACTTTGCAGAAGTATAAAAAATTGAAAAATCTGAATAAAGAGGTGAGAACTGGGCATACTGGGAATGAGATGATGATTGATGATCATTGGGCATGGCAACCTGAAAATCAGGGGAATGGGGGGAATGGAATGGAGTATCCTGGAATGGAGTATCTAGGAGTAGAAGCATTTCATGCAGCAAATCCCATTTGTTTCTTCACAATATACAGTTTCCTACCACCTGTTGAAACTTCTCTCCTGTTTTCTCAAGGATTGCTGCCAAAATCCATTTTTAATTTGGGTGTTTCAAGAAAGGAAAGAAGCTGGGAATAATGAACACCATTCCCAGAGAAGGGTTTTGATATTACATAGCAAATCTGTTTTACGCTGTTTAATGTTTAACCTTCTCTTTTTATTGATAGCCTCCTTGAGCTTCAGGAAATGTGTATAAGGCGAAACATCAGCAGCATTTACAGGAAAGCAGTTTCTAATGGTGCTTTCCATTCTAGAACAGGGGCTCCAGCAATGGATTGCTTTTTGGCCTGCCTGGGGCAGGGGCAGGACAGGAGGCTGCTAAGAACCATCCTGGCTCATAGGCGGGAAATGGCTTGGAGAGGGCATTGTATTCATTCTCCTTTCCATGATGACTTGGTTTTTCCCTGCAGGACTCTATGTGCTGGTGGGAGCAGGTGTGCTAATGATGACCGTGGGATTTTTTGGCTGTTGTGGAGCTGCCCGGGAATCTCAGTGCCTGCTTGGAGCGGTAAGTGATGGAGTTATTTCCATCTCGGGAGGTATAAGGGCCTTTGTGGGCGTAACTTTCCTCTCTATTTAATAAACCACAAGTCAGAAATTAGGGCTAGGATGCTCACTTTTCTTTTTCCTCAATTCTTTTACTCTGGCACCAGCACCAGACTGAAAATGCACATTAAAGACATAGCTAGCCGCCTTGCCTTTTTTACTCCAGAGCATGGATGGGCAATGTGCCCCTCCCCCCCCAGTGCAGTTTGATGCTCCTCCTCAGATTAAAAAACAATAGTTTACTCATCCAGGAACATTACCGGCTTTTCGACACAAGGAATTTATCATGCACTTGTCATTCCCTACTCATGGTTATTTATGGGTTCTTTAAATGACCACATGCTCCTCCAGCTTTGCTTCTTTGTCTAAGCAGTACTTTCAGTGAGTGTTCCTTAGGCACAAAAGAAACCGGTCTGTGCTTTATAGACTACAGCAAAGCCTTTGAGTGAATAGTTCATGAGAAGCTGTGGGAGGTTCTGAAAGAATGGGGGTGTGTCAGCACTTGATTGCCCTGATGCATAAGGTCAAGATGCTACTGTTAAGACAGGATATGGAGAAACAGAATAGTTTCCCATAAGCAAAGGTGTCAGAGAGGAGTGCATTTTATCCCCCTATCTGTTCAATCTGAACACAGAACATATCATAAGGAAAGCTCGATTAGGATCAGAGGAAGGAGTGAAACTTGGAGGAAAAAACAGCACTAATTTAAGATATGCAGATAATACCATACTGAGTCACCTCCCATCTGAGAGGTGCTGTGAACTGGTAAATTGGTGACCTGCAACAGCAGGGGGTTGGACCCAATGGCCTTCTAGGCCCCTTCCAACAATACTATGCTATGATTTTATGATTCTGTTACTAACAGAAAGTAGCAATAAATTGAAGCAACTGTTGCAAGTGCAAAAGCAGGACTGTTTGTTTAAGAAAACAAAAGTCATACTGCAGAAGAATTCCAGAACTTTACTAATAACGATGAAACTGAAATTGTGAAAGATTTTACATACCTCAGTTATCAATTCAAAGAGAGACTTCAGTTAAGTAATCCAATGAAGACTAAGGCTTATAAGAGCAAAAATGAAAGGACTAGGGAAAAAACTGCAAATGTAAGGATGTTTCACTGGGGATCAAGGCCAGGATCATTCCCAATCACTATGTAATGGTGTGAAAGCTGAACAGTGAAGAAAGCTGACAGGAAGATGATGCATTTGAAATATGATGCTGAAGGAGAGCTTTGTGAATACCCTGGATTGACAGCAAGGCAAACAAGTGGGTCCTAGATGAAATCAAGCCAGAACTTTCCCTAGAAGTAGATATGACAGAACTGAGGTTGCCATGCTTTAGGCACATAATGAGAAGGCAAAACTCCCTGGAGAAGACAATCATGCCAGGGAAAGTCAAAGGCAGAAGAAGAAAAGGAAGACCAAATATGAGATGGATTGACTCCATAAAGGAACAGCTAAGCAGTGCTGTTATGAGTAGAACATAGCAACAACGTAACAGCCTGCAATCTCCATCTTAAAGATTGAAGGATTTCCATCTTGAGAAAATATGCACACTAGAAAGTGTCAGGATGGAGAGTCATGCTAGAAGCATCTCTCTGGGCTATCCTTGCTTTTAAACCAGAATCTTCCTTTAACTCTTTTACTTTGGCCTACATAATATATTTATTACCAAATTCTGGATAAAAGATTAGACGTTGGGTGGATTCACAGAACACCACAACCCACATTGATTTTTTAAACTTGGTTTCTCATGTTGTCTGAACCTCATCATTGTATTTAAGTGTTGTACATTTGCTCTTTAGGAACCATAAATAGAAACAACTATCTGTTCTTCGGTTTCCTGTTACCACAGCATCCTGTTGTGTTGTCCAACACAACGCAACTGAACATTCTACCAAGGCCAGAACCAGAAAGCTGCTTGGCAAAAGCAGCCTGTTGCTGATCCTCTGACGGGCTAGCTAGAGAATGCCACTGACAGCCGCCATTTTGTGCATCTGTCAGAGATGTCTTTGCTCTGCCCTCTTCCTGCCCTCAAGTTCACTGTCGCTTCCACTTGACAGAGAGGCAGGTGCCAGGATGGGCACACCTGTCTGGCAAGCAGGAATGAGAAAGGTGGGCAAGCACCATGCTGAGCCTGATCATCTGCTAGCACACTGAGGTAAAAAACCATGAACTGTGGCAGCCACACAGGGTTGCTTGTCATAACGTGTGAATCCAGCCACTGCTAAACCTGTAATCCTGTCTCCTTCCTTTTGTAGTTCTTCACTTGCTTATTGGTGATTTTTGCTGCTGAAGTCACTGCAGGAGTTTTTGCTTTTCTTGGCAAATCAGTGGTAAGTCTTTCTTCTCAGGAAGCTGGAATGGAAAGGCAATTTTGCAAAAGTATTAAACAAGCAAACAAAGGTGTCTTAAATGTTACGTGGATAAGAATCAAACAGGCAGAACATATAATTACTGATTTACTGATTTTATTTCTATACTGCCGAATAATTTCTCTGGGCAGTTCATAATAAATCATATAATTGCAAAGCTCAAGTACAGATAATAAAATACCACATAACATTTTGGTACACAACATTTCAAACTATGTAAACAGCTGAAAACAATTTCCTTAGACATCTGGCCAGCCCCCGCCTCCCTGCATCACATGGCATCAAATACCATTAAATGCCTGGAGCAGAGGGTCATTTTAACCTAGTGCTGAAAAAAATGATGGGATTAGTGCCAGGTGGCCTTAGAAGGAGCTGCCCTGGATGTACAAACCCCAGTGCTTTTAATGTGTTTCCACCAACAAATAGAAATGTTGTACACACATTTGTTTCACAGATTCTCTCTTGCTCAGTGGTAAACCCAGCTTTGCTGCCAGTGCTTGTTCTGGGGTGGGGGTGGAGAGCTTGGTCCCCTTAAAACAGAAGGGCAGAATCACAGACCAGATGCAGCCTGCCTAGAGTCCCAGTCCAGCCCTCCACAGGACCTCAAATGGCCTTGTCCTTTCCCTTTGCCACCATTTGTTTGGCGGTTTCCTGGCTTCTTCACATTTTCTTGCCCATTCTGTATAGTTGAAATGCCTCTGCTCAGGCTTAGTTACTGGCAATTAGAGCTTAATTCTAAAATATGTTGGCCTTTTGGCCCCACACCTTTGGCCCCTCCCACCACTGTCACATGAACCTCTCGAAAATGGAATTTGGCCTTCAGACTTTCTCCACCCTTGCCTTAAAATGTGGGAGGGAGGTGGAGAAAGAACTGATTCTCATATATACAGCCCTCCCTATAATGCATAGTATGTGTCTCATTCCCCCATGTCCAGCTGCAATACTCAGCCAGATTTTTCTCATCCTTCACCCTCTGGCAGCCCTGCCGAAGCTTGGTGGTGAGTGTGGCCTGCTTAGCCAAGAGTTGGCCAGACTCCTGCCTGGTCTTCCTCCTCCTGTACCCTCTCATCCAAGCCTGTCCTCAAGCCATGTTTCTCCCAGAAGTATTAACCATCTGCCTATACTGTGCCACTGGACATTCGTCCCATTAAATCTGTACTGCCTTCAGGTTCAGTTTTCCTTCCCTCTCTTCAGCTTCTCAGTTGCACTGCTCTCTCAATGCCCCCTCTTCTGAAGATCCTGAGTTGTAGCAGAGCCAGAGGGCTCAATGGAAGATGCATCTAGCAGAATCTCCACTGTTTCCTGGCTCCTGTTCATTGGTTGGGTTCCCCTCAACATGATAAACCATGTTTAAAAAGGGGAAGTGACAGAACAGTTACATTTTTTTATTGAGACTTACAGCTGTATATCTCCTAGTCAAAAATATAAAACACTATTGCCCTATCAAATCTCACTTTTAAAGTGGATCCATAGTTCTGACTGCCAGGTGCCTTTTCCTCAATTCCTTTAGGTTTTAGACAGCTGTCAAAACGCTTTTCCACAGAAAAAGAGGTGGAGTTCATTTTGCACTTTCCTTAAGTGGTTGGAGTGCCAGGGAAGATGCAAAATATTCATTACCTTCAAGACTGTTGGTGTGGGGAAAGAAGATCTCACCACAAATATAAAAAACACAAATCTTACCACTCCCCTTTCATGAGTTATAATCGTTCATACCTTTGTTTTCTCTTGGCAGATTGCTCTTTGACAGCTGTCAAGAAAATGTAAAAGAGGAGTGAAATTCTATTTGAACCCTCTAAGGTTCATTTCCAGGTTTGGTACCTGCTGCATTGCTGATACCAAAAAATCATCATGTTTGCACTTGCACAATGGCATTCTTTGGTAGTTGTATAAGTACAGCTAAATAATATTAAAAGTAAAATTAATGAAAGTTGTGGCTCATATTTTGTAAGTAAAATACAAATAAAAATGCTTGCCATCCACTGGCAAATATGAATGTTTGCCATCATCCAAACTGCTACTTGGGCACTTTCTGGAGCTGTGAGTGGCTGTCAGGTGGGAATTTTGAAAGCCAGATGTCAAGCTGGACTTTACGGTCTCTGAAAAAGAAGGAGCAAAACCCCAAACCCCATCTCGCAATTACGGGGAGCTGGGGAGAGAAATCAGCCCTGCCATGGGGACCCTGGGATAACCAAGGAAGAGACAAAATCCCACGCTGAGCCCGATCGTCTGTTGGGAGCACTGAGGGAATTTTGCACAACAACCAGCATGCTTGTGCCTTCCTGTCTCTGTGGTTGTCATGCAGGGCAAATGTGCCCATTGTCTCATTAAAGTGGCTTGTCTGGTTTTATGCAGGCTATTGCTGAAGTCCAGAGCATCTATGAAGAAGCATATGGAGAATATGTCAGTGATCCAGGGAAAAACAAAACCCTCATCCAATTCCATGAAGCCGTGAGTAACTTGGAAATTGAGGTCTTACTTCTCTTACTGTTAATTTCATGAAGTTGCAAAAGGTGGAAGCCTCCTTGCCAAAATCAGATAGATGCGTAATCTGTTGCAAGGCTCAGATATAAATGCCAGCATATGAGAATAGAGTTAAAATTAAAATATTCAACATTGTGCAAGGGTTTTCTGGTTGTTGGGGGTTTCACTTATTTTAATGATAGTCTCAGTTACCTGGCACAATATTGGCAGCCTGATTATATTCCTTAGAGCAGCCTCCCACAACAGGGTACCCTCCACGTATGGGACAACCAGCCTGGTCAATGGTTAAGAATGATGGGAAATGTGATCCAGGACAACTGGAGAACAACAAATTGAAAAAGGCTGCATTAGAATAGCTGAATTCCTCCTCCCACTGCAAGTAGACCAGATTATATGAGGCTGCTTGATTATGATCCTTTCAAAATAAGCTTCTATTTATGCATCTTTATTTATCATGTTGGTTCACATTTTTAGCATCCTCCAGGATGTTGAAGGTGATAGGCTCCCTTTTTTATCTGAATAGTATTGTTGACTGGTCCTTGAGTTTCATTGCTGAACAAGATTGGAACCCAAATCTCCCTGGCCTTGGCCCGATGATCTACACCATACTGATCTACCATCAGTAGCACTCTGAATGAAATATGTCTAGGTTCACACAACACACTAAGCCATGCAAAGCCACTGTTGTCTAAGCTGCCCCCTCTCCAGGGTGGCTTCTTTGTGGCTACAAAGCCAGCTTAACAAGCTATGGCTTTCCGTAGTGTATGTAATCTGAACCAGTACAATTCAACAAGCCCAGGAGAAGCCCTGAAACCTAGAAAGCCATTCTGTCCAAGCTGGAGCAACGACAGCTGGCCAAAGTGCCCAAGTGGTAGCTGTCATTGACTTCCTTGTTTCCATATGCCACCTCCACAGTCCCTGCTCATAAGCCCTCTTGTGGAGAAGGCCCTGCAGAATGTAACCCTACCATTGTGGGACAGCAGGGAGAAAAGCTGGTCCTGGATTTTCTCCTGGGAAGCCAAAGCAGGGGAACTGGCTACAGGGGATAGGGGAGTTCCTTGCAAGTCACCCTCTCTCATCTGCAATCATCCCCACTATCTCTGCAGCAGCAGGGAAGAGCTGCCTTGCCCAGCCAGCCACCACGGTGGCCACCCTTTTCAGCTGAAGTGATCGGTGCTCCCCCCTCCCCGTCAAGCAATGGCAGAAGGAAGAGACCTCAGTGTCCCCATGGTGTTGCCTAGGATACTTGCAGCAGGACCAAGGGGAGCCACGGGAAGGTGCCCCAGGACACCCAGTGTGGTTGAGTGTCCACTGGGCATGTCACATAGCTTCTTATGCACTGTGGCTTGTGGTGCCATCTAAATTGACCCTCTATGCCTTCTTTCGTGGTACAGCAGCAAAACTGAGCCACCTGATCATTTGATCTATGCTAGCAGGCCAGTAAGCCATGTCTGTTGTCACTTGGCTCCTGTGTCAGAGCCTCACTCTTATATTGATCCTCTTAAAAGGGTGCGGAGCTGACAATAAATTCCAGTTGCACATGGGCCGATTTAGTCTCATATTAGGTTCTTATTGGCAAACACATGCACATAGGACAACACTTAACAGCTCAGGGAAAAAAGACCCAGCAGAGCTGGTGTTCTTATTTGCATTCAGATTGGAAGACTGTATGGACTTGCAATTTCTTTTAGTTTGCTTGCCTGAGCTAAGGTCCATTGACTTTAACTGACTTTGTTGAAAACTGAACTTAATGATATCTAATCCAATGTTGTTAAACTGCCAGATTTAGCAATTTTTCTTTCAGTGCAGGAGGAGTTGTTTTTAAGAATATCCAGCTCTGAAATAAGCTTAACAACCCTATCTTAAACATATTTTCTTGGAAGGAAGGCGCTTAATTGCACATTATTTTAAATGTAGTGCTTGAAGAGACCACAGGGTTTTTTGTTCTTAATTAAGACCAAATGCAGGGCAGACCAGATCAGCACCATAGTAATAAATGATGACTCTCCCTGTGCAACGAATAGTGATAGCAGGAGCCCTCTCCTTTTGGCACCATCCACCCCCAGCATGGCTTAATTAAAACAAAAAACAAAACCCTGATGTTGCTTCAGGCAAGACGTTTAAAGGAACATGTAGCAAGGTCCTCTAGGTCTCATCACTGAGTTTCACATCTTGGTTAAGAGACCACTGGAGATCACTGCCTTTTTGTATAACCTCTGTGAGTACCAGTTAAGAATGTCGGCACGAACTAATCCTTTCAGAGCCACAATTTGATAGAGGATTGCAACCAGAACAGGACACCCTGAATCACATCATTGGGAACTGATGTTCCACCAAGCAGAACGTAAATGGCACTTAACAAGTGCAATCAAGAAATTCTTCACATATCATTTAATGGTTGTCTTTTAAACCTTTTGGTATGTTAGACAAGAGGGAAAGAAACCATTTTAAAGTGTATTGAAAGGTGTGATGAGAAAGAGTGAACTCATCTCTGGAAATGAGCTGTTATAGGCTTTTATTCTGTTTTTAAAAGCCCACAAACACTGTCTGACAAGAGATGACAGCAGTGCAACCCCCCCCCCCAAAAAACCCAGTGTGTTTATCACAGGAAACTATGCTTTTAGCATGCTACATCTCTTAGAACAATCACCCTTGTCATCTTTGGGTGTGTTCAGAATGGAAATTTTGCTCATGGCTGGTTGCACTATTTATCACTAAGCACAAAGTGTAGATCGCCATTCTTCCCTGGAAAGGAGGTACACTGCTGTGTGGGATTTTGTGCATTTCTCCCTGCAAAAAGAAACAGTTCTCCCTGCAAAAAGGAGGTACCCTTCTGCACAGAGTTTTGCCTATTTGGGCAGAGGCACTCACCAAAATGGCAAGTCGAGTGCCATTCTGGTTGACAGTTGGCATTCTTTGTACAGTTATTACATTTCTGATGAACTGAGGTAAGAGGCATGATTCAAGATAGCAGATTAAGGACATCTTATCTGTGCTTCACTGTAAGTACAGACTGTTTGGGGCTTTCCGAGACGAGAGTTTGATACAAATTTGGAAGTATTACTTTCAGAGGATTTTCAAGTGCTCTCTCTGTCATTCCAGCTGCAATGCTGCGGGAAAGAAAGTGACGTTCAGGTGAAGCCCACCTGTCCAAAAGACCTTGAACAGTCTAAAGTAAGTACCTCTTACAGTCATCTCAATCTAACACTGTAGTAAAAATAGCCTTGGGACAGGATGAGGCATGTAAACCAGAGAAATTTGTGGGAGTGTAGTGTAGGATGGCTGAGACGACAGTCTGGACAAGGGCCATTTGGCTCCCAAATTTCTTTTCCTACTATTCATCATGAGCCACTGAAGAGTGTGCCAAGAGAGCTGACTTTTAAGCATTTGTGTTCTGCCTGTCATGGGTTGCTCCGTGCAGCTGAACCATACCTCTGCACAAGGCAGCCACGGCCTGGTAACAAGGCTTAGCTATGCTCGTTGGCGGCATAGGTGCTCCCGCTAACCTTCATGCTTGCCTGCGCCCTCCCACAAGGTCCAAACTATTTGACAGTTGCCTGCTCCCAGGACCACTAAGAATCCCAAAAGGGCTAAACCAGATGACCCCTGAAATGCATTTTGTATACCCCTTTTTATCAGTGTTTCATGCCAAGGAAAGGTTTTCTCTCAGGGTGAATTTGTGGGGCAAGAGTATACACTGCTTTTCAAGACCCTTTCTCATGACACAAGGGTGCTTAACAAGCTACAGTGACTTACTGTGTGTGTGCCAGTCACATGCTGGCCCAATGTATACAATTACCCTCACTGGGCCCTATGCACATAATTACCCTCTGTTGGCAACCAAATACAGCAAGGGTGACTTGTTAAGTCTACATGGAACCTATGGCTTGTCATGAAGTTGTGGAGTGGTTTGTTAACCATCCTAACAAGAAATGCTCCCCAGGTTTGGACAACAGGAAGAAGTTGCAACAGGAAGTTGCAACAACCTGGCACCCACAGATGCCACAGCCTACCATGGCTCAAATAAGCCTTGGTGGTCTGTGATAATTGTGGAAAGCAGGACTGGGACGCAGAAGAAAGAGGTTAACCTATGACCCCTACAGTGTGGTCATGTCCACTGTTGCAACTTCATTTTTTAAAATAACAGAAAAATGTGTTTATACATTTCATGAATCATGTAGCTTGGCCCACAATTGTCTACTTCTGTTGCATTTATCTATCTTTGCATCTGTGAGAGTATCTATGGCAGGAGTTACACATTTTTCTGGACATATGAAAAACTGCTGTGGAGATCACACAAATTGTCTAATTACTGCACTGGTGCTTTGGCATCTATCTGTGTTAAGTCTACAGAATTTAGTATGCATCTTATTTAGCAGAAACTTTTGTGTATGTGTATTGGTCATTACAATGTTTCTTTAAGAAGGGATTGTCTAATTCAGATAATTGCTGGCAATGAAATACAGTTAAGCTTCTTTTAAACATATATTTTGACTAATTGAGCCTTTTTGGGAGAAGGTTATTACACAGATAAATGTTATGCTGGAATATTCTTTAATATTTGCTGATGCATCTGCTCTTTTAAATTATTTACCTGCTTCATGGAAAGTAACAAATGGTCAGCATAAATGAATTTTCCACATCATTTAGACAGCTAGAAGACTGATATTACAGCATTCAAAGGATAAATACTTACCTCCTAAAATGCAAAGGATTGAGGATTACTTTCAATATTTGAACAGGTGGCATAAAGACTCTATCTTCAAGTAGATACTTATTGCATATTTTTTGTTGAAGCCTATGTATAATTGCTAGAAAGTTGTATGCTTTCCTTATGTATTCATTGATATGGATATATACAAATCTGTCTCATTTATTTTAAAATTGGGAATTTTCAAATGTTTTGCAGCTTACCTAGGGTACCATACTGGGGAACACCTGTTCATAGGTACAACATTGGGGATGACTGCTCTAGAGCAACCTTGCCCAACCTGGTGCTCTTCAGATGTTTGGACTTCAACTCCATCAGCCTTAGCTAGCAAGGACAATGTTCAGGGATGCTGAAGGTTGCAGTGAAAACATCTGGAAGGTACCAGGTAGGGCAAGGCTGGTCTAGAGCATTCATACAGCTTACTCAATGCAGATTTGGTGCTATGAAAGCCATAGGTTGTGATTGGCCTATTGGCAGAGGCCTTTTGACAGATAGGGGTCCTAATGAGTCTGATGGGACCCACTGCTGACTAAAGTAAGGATGCCCAAACATTTATGGCAAGTTCAAATTTGGTGAATCCCCAAATAGACTGTATACTTCTGTTTTAGGTGAAATTCATAGGCATTTGAAATTCACAGTATTGGTAGTTGTGCCTTAGATTGAATGTGAAAATCATGGCTTATCTGGGACACAGCCAGTACATTCCTTTCCATTGCCCTTCTTTGCTCAAATATCTGATGGGCTTGCAACCACCGTTAATTCTATCTAGAATAGGCCTATTGAAATAAATGGGATGGAAAATAGACTCCCATTGGGTACAACTCCCATGTACACACACTTTGTGACATACACAAACACTGAATAATTTAGAGGTGTGCAGCTCTTTATTCCAAACTTTCTATTTTATTTATTAATTATTTATTTAAAACTTTTGTATGCCATCACTACATGCCTTGGCATCTCAGAACAGCTCACAATATATACAATTAAAAACAATAAAATAATCTTTATAAGTAACAAATTCAATAAAAGATTATATAAAAACAAAAAAATACAAACATGTTCTTATCGTATTTATTGCTACTAGAAGGTTGCACAAATGGGACAGCAGAGACTGCAATAGGGGAAGGAGAGAAAATAGCCTTTCTGGATTATGCAGGGCTGTTAGCTTTAGCAGCAGTAAAGAAATCTTTATACAGTTTCTGAAAGAAAAATATAAAATAGGTACCACCAAATCATGCAAAAAGATTGTTTTGTTTTACACGAAGCACTCAGTTTAAATAAAACTGTAAATGCTATTGGAATCCAGTGTTTGAGCTTGTTCGGATGGTAAGGAGATGAGGTTTGGTGAGAAATATTAGAAAAATATAATAAACCAAAGAATTAAGAGGCTGCCGCTGTTCAAGCAAGTGCCTCTGGAGTAGTATGCTGGGCAGCCCACATATTTCAACTGCCTGTTTAGTATTCTGAGATTGCAGCAAAAACTGTGAATGCAAGGATGGGCCAAACTAGGTGAGGTATTAGTTTAAGTGGCTGTTCTCAAGGGTAGGTCAGAGGAAGCCAAGGTAAGAAGGATGCTCCAGTACCTTCCACAGGCAAGTGCTGCAGAAGGGAAAAGGGTGAACTAAGTAACTGGAAGAAGGCACAGTCTGGACTTTTCCCAGGGTTGCAAGACTTGCATGTGGTTATGGGAACTGTCCCTTATAACTAGGAAGGCTGTTCAAGACTTTATTGATGTTTAAAACATTATAACATCTTTATATCCCCAACAGAATTGTCTGGATGAAATTAACACTCTCATTGACACAAATCTGCATTTAGTAGGCATTGTTGGGATTGCAATTGCTGGAATCACAGTGAGTAATTCAGTTGTAATGCTGATGTTGTTGTTATCACTACCACTACTCCCGTCTCCATCATCCATGTATTTGCAAACAACCCAAAGCCATCCAAGCCAGTGGAATCACAGCAGGTTGCTGAGAAGCATGAGGAGGGCTATAGAAACTGAGATGGTGGCTGTGGTGATTTTATCTTTCAACCAAGAGGCTGCTGGCTCCTCAGAGAAGGGGCGCAAAATGTTTGGGGAAATCAAGACCAGAGACTATGATTAACAAAAGTCTGACCTCAGCTCACGTGCTTGTAATTTTAAATAAATTGCTGTCTCTTTAGAAATTAGAAAAATGCTTCTTATGGCCGGGGCTTCTTGATCCAACAAGCCCTGCCTATCATTCATGATGCCACTTGGTTCAGGAGGCAGCTCTGGCACAGTGGAGGTTTCACCTTGCAGCCTTTTGCAGCTTTTGGGTAAAGTCTCTAGGCTTTGCAGCATCAAAGGAAAGTGTCTTCCTTTGCTTCAGGCGATCTTTTTCACTCAGACCTGGTGGCCTCCAAACCATCCTTCCTCCATCATCCAAGCCTGCCTGGCATGTCTCTTTCTTCCTAATTTGTTTCTCCCTGAGGCCAAGCAAAAGGACAGTCAGGCTCCAGTCCTCAGCACTTGTCTGAGCCTCATCATTCTGGGTGAAGGTTAGGGCATTCTGGGTTACAGCATATAAATCTGTAAACAAATACTGTTCCTTGCTTGCAGTGACTGTTTAGTAAGAGTTCACAGTTCAGCTTTGCTGGAAGAAACTTAGAGGGAGATAAGTATTTAGAGAAGGGAAAGCATGGCTAAATATTTTTGTTCCTAGCAACAATTTTAAATAAAGAAACATTTTGTTATGCTGTGCATTTTGTTGCAGAGTTAGAAGTTGTGTCTGGGGATAACCGAAATAGTGATTTGTCTAAGTTAGTGTCTCAATTTCTCAGGAGCAAATTAGACTAAATGCAACCCGGACAGCCCTGATTATTCATTTGTCTGCTGCTCCGTTCACCAATAATGAGGCGCATAAAGTCTTGAAAGGATGTGTGGAAGAGAGCTGAGCCCCTTTCAGCCTCATCTCCCTGCATTCCTTTGCTTCAGACAGTTTTCCACAAACCACGTTAGATACTGGAAGTGTCTAAATATGTTGCTTAGATACTGCGTTAAAATTAGCCTCCAACCTGCAAATTTTGTAAACAAATGGGGCAGACATGTGATTAATATACATAGTTTTCCTCCACTCTGTCTAGTTTGGCTGTCACTAACCATATTTTTCCAGAAACTTTTTTATATATTTATTTGTTGTTATACTGGATCTGGCCAGTTTAAGATGTGGCCTCTAGGTGGCACCATTATACATAAGTCTGACTGTAAGACAAGCTCCTAAGGGACCATGTTATCCATTGATTTATGATATTTAACCTACCCTCCCCACCCAACCCAAAAGAAGGAAAGAACATGTGGAAAACAAAACACACAGTAAAATATGAGTGGCATTAAAATTGAAGAGCAACAAAACGTACACACAGAACAGTCTTTGTTGTTGTTAGTCACGAAGTCGTGTCCGACCCATTGCGACCCCATGGACAACATTCCTCCAGGCCTTCCTGTCCTCCACCATCCCCCAGAGTCCACTCAAGCTCACACCAATGAACAGTCTTTACTGCCTATCTAAAGAAAGAGACAATATCTCCAAGAGGAAATTCTTCAGCTGGAGGCTGCTACCAAAAAGGCTTTTCTTGAGTACTTGATCTCAGTATCCAGCCTCTCTGAGATCCTCCTGTTAAGAACAAACCACTTTGTTCTCTTGAGGTTCCCTGGACAGTGGCTGAGCAGAGTGCTGGCTTCAGCTACACATACCCACCCGAATCAATCATTAAGTTTATCTGGAAGGCCAGAAACAGTGGGAAAGATTTGCTCAATGTCCTTTAAAATGCATTCCTTATGTTTCCAGATCTTTGGCATGGTGTTCAGCATGGTCCTCTGCTGTGCAATCCGCAACACAAGAGACATGCTCTAGATTCCAGCTGCATGAGATTATTTTCATCCCAGGGACTGGAAGGCTTCTGGATAGAACATACAAGAGGCGCTTGCACACTCAGCTTAACAACTGTAATCCATTTTAATTAGCGTTGTTAACCAACTGACAGAGGAAAAGGGGGATGTTTGGTGAGCCCAAGAGTTTGTATTTAAAATTTTGAGACAAAGAATTCTGAAGTAAGTAAGTACATTCAACTTAAAAATGCCTTTTCCAAGACAATGGCAAGATCAGAAGCTTTTTAAAATTATTATTTGTAAGATTACTTTGCACATGTGTGTGGGTGAACAGTGCCTGTATCTCCTTATTCAACTACATGAGTGTTTGTTTTGGCACACAGTTGCATGTGGTGCAACTGCACAGATATCTGTATATACGGTACTCCGTGTGATCGTATGTATGTTTTGTGGGTGTCTGTATTTGCATGCATATTCCTGCGGTATATATACACTTGGGTGCATACCAGCCTAAAGCCCTTTCCAAGTGGACTCTACTTTGCTAATAATCAGTGGAGAAAGAAATGGACTTTGGAAAACCCAGTGTCCCCTCTGATCTTTATTCAGACTCTGCACTATTTAAAGGGGGCTAGATTTAGCCAATTGGATTGAGTTAAATGTTTTGTTACTAGGTTCCATTGCTGGACAATTCTTCTCCATGGCAAGATTTCTGCTGCATTCGTTGCCACATGCAGAATTTTTGCTTTCTTTGAACACTGGTGTCTCCATGAGAAATCCTCCGGCCTGCTGCACAAAGGAAGATAAAGCAGTGGTGGGATGGCTCTCCATCAGCGGAGCCCAGTTAAAGCAGTGGGTGCAAAACAGAGTTTATCAGGTACAAGGACCTGTTGTGACACCTATGCAGCCATGTTTCTGAAGGTGGTCTCTCTCTCTCTCATTCTCTCTCTCTCCCCTCAATCTCCCTTTAAATTAGCTTGTCCCTTAAGAGCAACTTATTCTCCTTCAAAATACCTTGGATTCCTTGACTGTTGTTTCTTCCCCAATAAACATTACTTTGTGCCACTTGCCTCCATTTTCTTCTCCAAACAAAGAAAAGTCCTTTGTGCATAGTCAAAGAAACCGTATTCCTTCTATAGAGTATGCCCAGTGTGATAATCCACCAAAACCCAGTGGGAAGAAATAGCGTTTGCCACACTGGTGCAGCACAATTCTAAGCGTACTTATTCAGAAATAAGTTCCTCTATTCCACGAAATGTATTGTGCACTAAGTGTGCTTTGGTTTGTACCACGAGTGGATGAGGATTATAGGCTTGCTGCAGTGAGCACCACACTGCTGTTCACAATGGCTTATTCATTACACAAGCACTTCCACATTAGCTTGGCACAGCAGAGGAAGAAGTAACCAACTAGCATAACCTGGCCAAAGTAAAGCATGTGCTTAACTCCTTCGCTGAAATTACTGAGAGTCCACAGTTCATTCTTTATATTTAAGGAAACACTCTTGAAATGACAGGCAGGTGCAGAGGTAGCAAAATAACTTTGCTGTTCTTTGAACCTAAAAACAAAACAAAAAATAGGAAAAAAGGAGCACTAAGCTTTGCAGGCAGGAAGGAAATGGGTTCCTTGTCAGTAATGACATCACAGGGACAGTGACTGGGACACTGGTGTAACCAAGTTTAACACAGCAGCCTTCACTAAAGATGCTGGAATTATGTAGAACTGTACATTTATTTGGCTAAAAAGTGATCCCTTGAAACAGACTGAAGAGATTAGAGGAAAGGGCATGGAACTAAGGGGTTTAAAGTAGCATATGCTATGGCTTTTCCCCCACCTGTAGCACAGTAAAAAGCACCAGCCAACCCAGCTGCCAGAGTGTGAATCGTTTTTAAAGTAGAGGTCAAATGGCCTTCCTTTGCTTCAGCCCTGCCATTAGGCCAAGTGAAGCAGGGAGCACATGTTAGGAGGCGGGGAACTGTAGCAAAATGTTGAAGGAGCACTGGATGTGACCATGTGGCCTGCCCTACTCTGCTGGCCATTGGCAGCAAGACTAAATTTCCAACCTGGCCAGTGTCCATGGCCTCTGGCAGTAAAATGTTTTCTGCTGGCTCTGCTTTGCTTTATCCCTGTTCTAGACTCAGTACTTGAACAGAGGCTGCTCGCTCTGGTGGGACTCTGCATTTACAGGACCTGTATTATCACAGATGCTAATTCAAGACCAGGACCTTCTTGCCAAAATGCAGTGACCTTTCAGGAGATCCAGCCCTTACACTTCTGAATAATAGAATGTGGTCAAGATTTAGAACAAGCAAAGTGGCATTTTTTATGCCTTCCACTTCTGTTCATTCTTCCTGAAAAACAGAGCTCAGTTTAATGCAGAGCATTCTAACTAGGTCATGCTGTCACTGTCTAAGCTGCGTAAAAGTTCTAGGAATAACACTGTATGCTTGAAATACCTCAGGAGTATGTTTACACTTTGCCTCTGTGATTTGTACTGCTTCTATTTATTTCTGCTAAAATAGTCCTTGAAAAATAATCAGATGGAATTAATTCAGCTTGCCAGAAGGAAATTGGCATATGGTGCAATCCTAGTACATTGCGCTCAATGGGATGTTGCCATTGACTTGAAAGAGAGGTGCACCCTTTGGATCCTTTCTGTCCAGTCAGTTTTCTGGGAAGCTGTTCGTTTAGAAATGAGAACTCAGGAAACAAGTTCTGTTCTTCGTTTTATGATTCAGTTGTAATATTTTGATTCAAGTGGGAATGACCCATCTAAAAGAACATTTAGCAGAGCATTTTTTCTCAAAAGAAAGGCATAATGTGCTCCATGCGCATTGTTCCAGCTAAACATATTAAAAGCATATGAGACCTCAGGGAAAGCCTTCTGTAGCAGGGCCCAATTTGAAGGGTAATGTGCACCCAAGTGTGTATGTGTGTGTGTCAGAGTGAGAAGTCCCAAGGTGTGTGTAGCATTTTCGTTCCTTTCCAAACATGAATGCATGCATTGCCCGTCTCTCCCAAGAGTCTTGAGCTATGCCTTTGTATCTCTCATTGTCCCAGTTCAGACATTTGGATCCATCATGTTATTTTAGACAATGAGGTCTGCCTGTGAAGCAGACTCATCATATGCTCAATTCACCCTGCTCACACAAGTGGCCGCTGGTGCTAATGGCTCCTGGGGCACCAGCTCATCCTGTACAATATGAAATTTACTGCCATGGGTCTGAATAGCTGAATAAAGCCCTTGTTCTGTTTGGGAAGCAGACTTGCTTGCACTGTAAGTAGTTCTCACCTGGGATTTGCAGATTGAGTTGATCATAAACAGCTGAAAAACAGTATAGGGCTGGGTGGGGGCATGATTTGTTCAAACATTTTCAGCAATATTAAAAATACTTTAAAATTCATTTTTCCTATTCAGTGGAAAATTATGCTAGTTAGCCTTTGAAAAGTGATTACATTCCTAGGATTTTTATTGAAGAGGGAAATTAGGGGAACAGAAAACCTGTTCAAACTGAGAAAAGGACACTTGTTCTTTTGTTGCTTCCCAACTTTTTTCCTTGCTCTTCTGTTTGACTAATGTTAGGAAACAGGCCATCCCCATCAGAAGCTCAGCAATTCTCAAAAGACAAACAGAAAGCTTGATGCCCTAAATACAGGTTAAAGAGCTCTTATTCTGCTCCATTCTGTCAGTTGCGTTTATCACTGGCAGGGGGAACTACACTGATCAGAAAATGAAATATGTCAAAGCTGCACATGGATAGCTCCAGGCCAGAAATGACTGCAAGTCACTCTCAGATTAGCCTTTCATTCTTCTATGCAATGGCTTTGTCCTTTGCAGACCTCACCCTTGCCTGCTGGCCTGTGCTGATAACTGCGCTTCGGGCCGCACACGCAGGGTGGAGATGTGGTATCCACCTAGACAGATCGGGCAGTGCCCACGCCTGCTGCTAGTGTCACTGGAGCAGCGGGGACATCCGCTTACACACACGTGCCATTATTTTCTGCATCTGACCTTCGGGTAGCGATGGCAATTTTGGCTTTTGCCTCTTTCTTCACTGACTCCACCAGAGTAGATAAACTTAGAGGAACCTGTCTTGCTTCCCAAATGTCAGTGCCTGTTGCTTGGGTGTTTCTTTACCTCTAAGTGCCTTTTTGGAAACAAGGATGAATGCCAGTTCGACAAGTAGGGGTTTTTTAAATCAATATTGGAATTGAATTATATTCCCTACTAGTGAATTCTCACTCCCCTACATCCCACTGTTTTGCTTCTATGCATGTAGTGGTTATAGTTGTCCTGGGGTCATCTCCTTTCCAGAAGTAATAAAAGCATGTGCTTGGAATTCCAAGGCAAGCATGCAATGGCAGCACAGGTGTGTTTTTCTGGATTATTTGCTTCTTCCATAAAGCAGCATGTATTCAGGCTATCAGTGCCTTTTGGAAACTCCATAGCTGTAGCCTTCCAATCTCACCATGTTAGAGATCATTGCTAATAATCATATTTTGGGGTGTGTGGGAGATGATTCCTTCAATTCTGAATTATATCTGAAAGACACTGAATATCAGCAATTTTTTTTAGCTTTGTCTATCCCTTTCTTAAACTTTGCATTTTTTTAGTGATCAGTTACTAACAGTATGCAATCAGTGAGCATGTGATCAGTCTGTTTTGGATGCCTTCTCCTAAGTTGCTTGCAAATTGGCACTTCAGGTGACTTTCAAGTCATCTGAAATTGTAAGAGCAGTTTAGAGTATGGCCAAGAATCAGTTTCTCTTTAACTTTTCTAGACCAAGAACTGGGCTAAGGGCTGAGATAGCCAGGTGTCCCTTTGGAGTCCTGCCTTTTATTTGGGTTGCTGCTGCTGCATCCAAAGCCTGGCATTACCATTTTATTGCCCAACTCTACTAGAAAGGCAGTCTTTTCCTAAGGGTGCAGCCCCATCACACCTGTGCCTGATGCTCATAAGCCTTTGACTCAAAGGCTTAGCAGCATCCAATACAAGGTGTGAGGTGAGGTGGCAGCAAATGGCTGTCTGGATTTGATGTTAGAGTGGAGAAGGAAAAGAGCCTCACCACCAATTGGAATCAGAGTAACTCTGCAGTTCCAATCTCTTCCTCTCTCTGCCCTCCTGCTTGCCCCCTTTCCCCCCTCTGAGACCTAGTTGCAACCTCAGTGTGGATGCATCTAGCACAGATCTTTCCACTCAGGTTGTCAAGGGATAGACCAGCTCTGAAATTATAGGTTTTTGGGGCTGGGGCTCTGAAGAATCCTATGACCTCCCCCCCCCCCCCCCCCCCCCCGCACTCCCAAAGGCTGTCAGGAAGCCATAGAATTGCACAGTGAGGGGACTAATGTGAGAAATGCTGACTGTAGGGACCCGGTAGAAGCGTCAGACTTCAGTATGTAGGAAAAGTAGAGTGCAGTGAGATGCTCCCATGTGTCTTCATTGCTGCTGATGAACAGAGACGAAAACAGCACCTCCAAAATGCAAACTGCAAAAAGAACAAACTCAGGTGCTGAATTATGTGAATGGTTTACTGTGCTCCATGTGTTTTGCAGTCCAGGACTCTTCCATAGGAGCTTGGAAGAATTAGAAATTCTTCACAACCTTTGCAACAAGGACAGAAAAAATATACATTTGGGGTTCTTTTGGCTGCTATATCTAAAGATGTGCAGGGGCTTCTAAATCTTTCAAGCTCCTCAGGAAGGACTCTTCATATTCAGAGCATATTCAAAACTATCTGCACTATCCAGAAATGGCTTTGCTGTTTTTGGTTTTTATTGCTGCTGGGCAAGCAGCTCTCCACATGCTACCAATCCTGGAGTTTATGATCTGTCTCAACACTGTCACCCTGCAAACTTGCCAAGCAGTGCCATACTTTGAGGAGGTAGGTCCAATTGCGGACCTTTTAAAATACATTTAATAAGCCCTTACCTGGAGCAGAAATGTCTAAATTTTGTCCCTTGCATAGCCTTGGGTACATTATGCATCTAATAGATGTTCTTCTCTGGGATCATGTGCTCTGTGTAAATATGGGCATTTTCACTAACAATGGGAATGACTGTACTGAGTTTCAGGCCTTCCACTGTCTTCCCTGAGTGATGTCTCAAATCTGTTGGAGAACTCTGTCTGACCACTCCTGGCAAGCCTGCAGGAATCAGGCAAGACCTGACAGACACGGCACCACCAAATAGCTATGCCTCTTCTGCAGCTCTAATGGTGGAAGCACTTCTTTTATGTGAACAAATGTTTTTTATTGCAATAGATGTCAAAAAGCTGTTATTTCCACCTTTTAAGGCCTATATTTTAGAGTCTGGGCTAAACACCTCATTAACTCTTAAAATGGTCATAGAAGTGTAAATAAAAGCTCTCCTTCCCCAGTGTGCCTGATATCTGACATTAGTGCATCTAGTTGTTACCATGGGAAATCGGGACATTCACCATGTAGTCATTTCCCCTGGCTGTAAATGTTGTTAAGCAATGTTCTGTTAATGAAATATGTTCTAGTATGGCCTGCTCTTTCTGGATGCATTTTTTATCACCCTTTCTCTGCTAAAGTTGGTGCAGAAATCTAATAAAAATAATCTGAAATAAAATTGGGAATTGGCCCTTTTTGCTAGCCGGCATTCTGACACACGCTACATCTGCTAGCTTCCTTTCCCAAGTATATCCATGGTGTTCTTTGATAGAAGGCAGTGGTGTCTTAGAGGGGGAAGCCATTGCCATTGTGCTATTAGGTTGTCTTCCGGTAATTCCAAAGTGATAATGAACCAGTGTTTTTTCCCCTTCATTTTACTGTTTTTGCAACATCATTTCAGTCTGGTCAAGGTGGAAGTTTTCTGCTTTTATCATTATTCTGCAGGCTTAAATGATGTATAGTTTTTCTTCACTACTTAACTATTTTCCTAATAGAGATTTGTCAAATATTGCGGCACTGGTTTTTCAGGAACCTCAGCTGGCTGCCTCTTGTTCTTTGGGCTCAAAAGAGTGGTATATGCAATGAAAGGGGCATTTATAATCAAGAAAAAGTATGGAAATGTGAGGAGGGGAAAACATTTAGATGCCCGAAATCAGATTACTAAATGGTTTTGAAGGTGGGGGAAGCATGGAGGTGATTTTTGCCTCTGTGCTCAGTTGGATGCCTATAACCTTCTGAGCTCATAGAGTTATGGGCCGCCTACAGGATTGTACTCTTACAAATGAAAATGACCACAAATTCTAACTTGGACTGGACCAACCATATCCGGTTTTGCTTTGTTTTTTATAAAGTCGCTGGTCTGATAAACCATGAAAGTACCATAGAAACATTAAATCCTGACATAAGCAAAGAATCTGACAGAACTTTCCTTGTTGAGAAGATGGTAAGATGAAACGTGGACATTGCTATCATTCAGAGGATCAAGAGTCGAGTTGCTGTATTCAATGACTGCTCATTAAAGGGCCCTGCCTAAGTCTCAGCTTTTTAATAAGTTGCATGGATAAAGATGCAGAAAAGATATTTATCAAAGTGTTTGCACATGACACCAAGCTAGGAATAATAGCTTGTACCAAAGAAGACAGAATCAAGATTCAAAAGCTGAAATACTGGATCAGACTTAACAAGATGAAATTCTGTTACATGCAAATGTCAAAATGTAAAGTCTTATGCCTGGGTACAAAAAGATCAAAGGCATTACTAAACAATGAGGAAAACTTGTTTGTAGCAATACATATGAAAAGAATCTAGTTCATGGGCACCCATATTCCCCATGTTTTAATATATAGACATCCACCTGTATAAATTCCATAACAATGAATAGAAATGAAATGCACACAGCTTCCTAGCAATTATTACAAAGCCTTCAACAAAAATGGTCCAAATATCCAAATAAATACCTGCTTGAACATGCTGTCATATGCCACCTAAATCCACTGTATATTTCTAGGGTTAAAATATTGATATTTTAGCTGCCTATTTATATTAACCATATGTTAATTTCCATAAAACAGGTAAAATTAAAAGGGTATGTACATCAGTGCATATTAAAAACTGTTCCAGTACAAAATTTATCTGTGTAATAGCATCCTCTAAAAAAGACATAACTACTGCAAGCCATCATCAAAACATATATCTAAAGAAGCATTTGCTGAATTGCACAGCCAGCAACTACTTGAATTAGACAGTCCCTTATTAAAGAGAAACAATGGTGTTCAATAGACACAAAACAATTTTTTGCTGAATAAAATGGATCCAAAAATCTATAGATGCACCAATGTGGTGATTCACTGATTAGACATTCTGTAGTGGTGTTCACAGCAGGTTTTCAAATTTCAAAATGGTTTGGGACCCCTTTTCTGGATGTAGATACCAAGGTGAATATGAGGCACCAGTTTGATGGGGATGTTAAACTGAAGCATAATCTTCATGGTAAGTCAAGCTCTTGCACTCTGGTTTGCATTTGTTAGACCCCATTTAGTCAGAACATTTCTCGGTGCATGTTAAGAAAGACACTGACAAAGTAGAGCAGGATGGTAAGGGAGATGGAAACAAAGACCTATGATGAATGTTGGAAGAACTGCTTAACTTGAAAAGGGGAACTATCTGAAAGGTCTTGTACAGAAAATGGAGAAGAATTGTTTTCTGCTGCTCAAGAAGACATGATTAGAACCAGTGGATGAAAATTGCAGTGAAGCGGGCATGAGACAAACATTAGGAGAAACTTCCTTACATTGTGAACTGCACAGCAGTGGAAGGGACTGCCTCAGGAAAAGGTGGGTTCCCCTCCGTTCACACAGAGGCTGAACTGCCATCTGTCTGCAGTTAATAAAGCCTGCATTTATCAGGAAAGTTGGGCTGGACAAGCTGCAGTCTCATTTCCAGTTCTAATTCTATCAGCTTTAAAACAATATGCTATAGCTTCCAGGATTGTGCCTAGATAGCAAGAAAGAAAAGGACAGTTTTTGTTTGGCTGCAGCCTTTAAATCAGAACCAGGGGCTGGCCTGCCTGCCTGCCTGCCTGCCTTGGCTATCATCACTGACAAGTTAATACTTAAACAGAACAAATACATGTTGCAAAATGATCCATGACTGGCTGTCCTGCTCTGTGTGAAACACCAAAACAAAGGTGTATCAAAAGAAATCTTTCTGTCCTGGACTCTCCCACCCACCCCAGTGGGGTATCCCTAGCATTCTCTCTGCCCACTCTCCTGTCCATATACAGGAACAGGAGCGCTTCAGTTCATGACCAAATTGGGTCGCAAACAGAAATTTCATTAAAAAATTTGCCGCAGGTCATGAACTCTGCATTGGGTGAAGATTGCAAGTGCGCCCACCTCCCCTGCATGGGCGTGATCATGATCATGGTCATGCTGGGGGGAGGGGAGATGGCCCCAGTTGTGCCCATGTTTCCTGCCCGAGCAGGCTCGCGCCCACGGCCACCTCTCCCCACTCACACCAGCGCCTGCCTCCCCCCCTGCGCGTGCACGATTGCTGGGGGGGGGGGAGATGGTCACGATCTTTGTTGTTCTTTGCCACTTTGCTTCAAATTTTTGTGAGTAAAAAAAATAGTTGCAGAACGGATTAACCTTATTTACATTGACCCTTATGGGAAATTTTGACTTGGCTCACGACCAGTTTGGGTCACGACCAGAGTCCTGGAACGCATTAAGTTCGTGAGCCAAGGAACCACTGTATTCTTTTTTAAAAACAGGGCTATCCTTAGGACAGGGCTGTCCCGTATCCTTTAAAGATAACGACTTCAGAGCATTTGTAAATTAGTCTACTGGAATGTTTTTTTCCTCTTTTTTTTCGGGGCGCGGGAGTCCAGTGTGCCTGAGCCCAGGATCTTTTCGGTAACTAGCATCACTCCTAGGACTTTGAAACACCCGCTGTGTGCTGCCCTTTGACTCTTTCCTCCTGGAATAGCTGAGGCTGCTAATATCTGCACGAGGAGGGAATACCCTGCTCCTCTTCCACCGGCTTCAGAGAAGATGATGTAATTCACACCTTTCCTTCCAGACTATCTCAGGCAGAGGTCCATGTTGCATAGTCCCCTTGCCTGTCAGTGTATGAGCTACTGCTAAGGTGAAAACCTTCTATGCTTGCTGTTTCCTGCACACTCTGTGAGAGCGAACTCGAAGGAACGGGCGCGAAAAGGGAAAGAGCGCAGCACTGCGGGCTGCTGCCTACAGTAAGGACTGAGCGTGAAGACGAGGTGGGATGTGGCTGCCAGTACAGAAAAGAGAGCATTAAAGGCGCAATCCTACACTGGCTGGGTCATTCTGAGAACTATAATCCTCCTTTTCCTATCTAAATATTCATAGGATTGCGCCCTAAGAAAAGCAAAAGGTGGTCGAGCTGGGTCACCAGACCAAAATTATAATAATCCAAGATTCACAGCTGGACAATCCTAGAATTGTACAAAAGGCAAATCTATTAAATGCAGAGAAAGGTGCCTTGAAAGGAAACAGGGGTCCACTGTGAACGGGCGATTTCTTTCTCTCTCAGTACTTCTAGCGGAGACCCTCGCCAGCTGCTCCCCGCCGCGCTCCGAGCGAGCCTCCCGGGGAAAGCGACCGAGCCCGGTCCGTCCCTGTCATTGGGTGAGCGGGAGCAGCCGCGGCCAATCCCAGCGCGCCTCCGCTAGAGGCGAGAGGCCGGCGCGAAGGGATTCTTGCTGCTTTGCGAGTCGATGGAAGAGCCGCTTCGCTGGCGGCAACTGGGTGAGTAAAGCGCTGGGGAAGCTCGCCAGAGTTGGAACGGCATCGGATCCGGGGCTTTGAAACCAAGAGTCGTTGGCCGACCGTTGACCTGAGGGAAAAGAGCAACTTGTCTTTCACAGGCGCCGCTCGAGTCCTACTTCGTTTCAACCGCCCCCTTTTCCTTGCAAGAGATCCGTGCCAAAGCATGCCAGGGCTGCTAATATTTATGGGCACAGGGCTTGTGCCCAGCTGGCTTAGTTCTTCATTTTCCTCACTAGGGCACCTGTACCTTTTAACTGTTTTAAATGACAAGCAGAAATGCCTTGAGTGAATTTGTGCCTGTCGTTACGTATAGCTATGCGTGGGTGGAAAAGTGGCACCTGTTTAATTTTATTATATCATGCAGGCAGCTGTGAAAGGAGAAGAACCACACTCAGTAAAAATGCAGTGGCCTTACTTGTCGCTGCTTGGGGGCGTGGGGGGTTGACTGCAAGTCGTCCCTATTGTCTCCTGTTGGAGGGAATGAAGGCAGTTGTTAGATGCATTACAGCTGTGACAGAGGCTAGATGGTATCTTTCTGGGTGTCTTTTATTTGCTTCATCTGTTATATGGGAAGTAAAGTGGAATCCAGGGTAATGGGGCACAGCTGGTGCCAGCCTCCATTGCTGGGAGACAAACTTGTATCAGCTTGTACGCTTCTTCTCTCCATTCAGTGGCTGTTATCTTCCCCTACATTTGCTTGACTTTGTTTGTTGGTTTGTTTGTTTGTTTGTTTGAGGTTGCCTTACCCTGCATGCCAGCCCGCAAGCCTCCCAGAATAGCTTTCAAACATAGCAAGTGGCACCCAGGCCATTAATCCATTTTGCCCAGTATTGTCAATGTGAACCAGCAGTTGCTCTACATGGTTTCAGACAGAAATATTTCCAGCCCTACCTGTGGTTGGGGAAGGATTAACACCCTAATCCTATAGCAATGGAGCAGTTACTCACAACAAAAAGCAGCATTGCAGCCAAGATCTTAAAGTTCACCCACAGTACTCTGGTTCGTCCAGAGTAAGCCTCAAGAGATCAGTTGGACTTACTCTTAGATAAGTGAGTATAGGATACTGTAGCCTGAAAGGTTTTTAAAACCAGCATAGAATGAAATGCAGCATTAAAAGGCCTGGGCAATTCTTTTCACCAGCCACCAAAAACAAACAAAAAATGCAGAAATGTAGCAAGTGTATCCTTTACTGTCATGAAGGCTCTGTACTGGGGTATTGATCTGTACAGTTGTTGCCAGACATGTAACTGTTAGGAGACATGCCAGAAAAAGGCAGAAACCTTAGAATGGACTAGGCTTGCAAACAGAGCTTTGCAGAGTAAAAAAAAATGGGAAATGCTAGATTATGCTATCATTGCACCAAGCTGCACCCTGCTCAAGGCTTCTTCTGTTGCTTTCCCAGCTGCAAGCCAACTGACAACACTGCAGAGAAAAGAGACTTGCTAGAAGCTAACAACCAATTCCTGGTACTTTTGTGCCTGCTCCTCCCATCCACTCCTCTTTGTTGGGAGGAAAGAAATTGACACGCATTTGAAATGGTCTCAGTTGATAGTGGTCCAGAAATAGCTTTGTCTTGGATACTGCCCAGGACATCCTTGGTATACCTCGTATTCTGCTTCATTTGACCCCCCCCCCCGCCCCATCAGTTCCTTTTTGGTATCCCTTTCTGATCTGCTAACAAATGGCTTCATGGCATACCAGTCATTATTTTCCATGGGAAACAGCAATTTGGGTAATTATACACAGGAAAAAGTAAAGCCTGACTGTCATTCTGTCTCTTTTTCAGTAAAACTCCTTAAATATGTACAATTGTAAAGACCCAGGGTAAAATTCAAATACTGCAGCTGGAACTTCTCTGTAGGATTTATAGGCAACTTACCGGACTGCAGGCTAATAATATCTCAGTCTTGGTGCAAAGCACCCTCCTCTAATGCCTGCAGTGGAAACTCTGTGATCATAGTGGCTGTCATTGTTGGTCATTTGCTCATTTAAAGAGGCTCCACGTGTTTCTGTCTCACCATGGGCACTGGGAATTCCTAGTGACTAATTGATAGGTCATGTGATACTGGCATTGGTTTGAGACATTTCATCAAGCGTGTCAAGATGCACAACCTACATCTTTTGTTATTTCTGGTAGGTAAAGTAGAGAAAACAGGACTAGACCAAAAGTATTTGCATAATATCTGGTATGCTTAGACAGAAAAAGCCTTAAAGCTCCCAGAGTGAATAGACCCAAGAAGTATTAAGGGTATTATTTTCCTCTTTGTAGCTAGTGAGGGCTTTAACAGGTTAATGTTGCCACCATCTGCCCATTCATTGAACTGGAATATGGAAAGTTTTTTTTCCTTGAAGTTGCATAATGTAGTGCTTATTTATTTTATATTGTATATTTGTATTTTATTTTAATGTATATATTTTAAAATGTTATTTATGATGATTTAACCTATTGTTGTAAGCCGCCCCAAGGCTTTGGCGAATGGGGCGGCATAAAAATGTTTTAATAAATAAATAAATTTATGGACAAGTTCTGCTAAAGTTCAGTAGAATATATTCATTATTACCCATAACTGCTTAAGCTTGCAGGCCAACTTGTGTTTTCATGTGTGGTATTGAAAAAATAGTTAAAATTGTTTATGTAATGTTTCCTTTCCTCTTGTCCTGCTAAAGAGGTGTCATCTTCCATAAAATTTCAAAGTCATTCCTACATCAAAAGTAATACATTTCAGTTGCACCTTTTTTATGGCATAGATTAATCATGTAGGTATTAATATCAGATGATGACACTTCATGTAAGAGTAGAGGTGAGCGGGGATTCTGCCTTGTCATATGAATTTGAGCTGCTGTGAGCTGCTTGAAATGCTTGCATGTTAAAACAGCCAATGAGATAACTTTGGATTATTTATAGTACAACTGACAGAGTTTAAAGCTTCAATTTACTCTGCAGGGATTAGACAGAATTGTCTCCTTGAAGAACCAACTTCTTACTATTGGCAGCTTTTATTACTACTGACCAAAAGGCACTTGGAACACTTTTCCTTTTGTGATCCCGGAGAAAATGGCTGAGAAACAGATTAGGTATGTGTCTTGTTCATATTTTAAAAGCATAGCAAGCATCAGTGTATATGCTGGGGAAATCTTTTAACAGATTTAGAGAACAAATTACAAAACAAATCCTATAAAATTGCATACTTTTTAGAAAAATAACTTTTAGGCTAGCAATGTACCAATAGGTATTGTGAGAGAGAAGATGGGTTTAAAATAAGGGATACAGGGAGTGCTGAACAAGTTTTTTTAAGTGTGGGGTACCATTTCAGGATTGTTATAATAATGGTCAAATTTCTTAAGAATACATTAAATTGTAAAGTATTCAAGAACATTTATATCACATTATAACCAAAGGTATGCATGCTTACAAAGAGTTATTGCATCTGGTCTGAAAGATGGCAGGGTAGCTATCTCATCTTTTTACTAACTAGTGCTCCTACACAGTGGCAGAATGAGAGATCCAAAGGGAACCAGTGGCATGGTTTTGAGTGGATTGAAGGGAGATGACTAGGTAAGGGAAGAGATATTATGGAGACTTAACTATAAACATAAGGTGAGAGGTATTCCTATGAAACAATCAAAAGATGCAAATTATGATATGACTGTACTATAGGAGTTATAGCTAATGGGTAACTTATTGTGGGATGTACTTCTATTAAAGCCTAATAAATGGGCATAATATTAAGGAGCATCCAGTTTGTTTATTTCATTTTTATACCACCCAATAGCCAAAGCTCTCTGGGGGTTTAATGGAGTTAAAATAAGCAACAAAAATGACATAAAACAATAAGACCTCAGAAGTTGCAAGTGAATTGGCACAGAGGTATAGCAGTGGTGAATGATAAAATGCAGTATAAAAGTTTAAAGGTTAGCTGTTAAAATACTGGGAGAATAAAAAGATTCTCACCTGGCACTGAAAAGAATAAAGAGTAGGCACCAGGCACACCTCTCTGAGGAGTTCATTCCATAGCCAGAGTGCCACAACTAAGAAGGCCCTTCCTGGTAGCCGCCTCCTTACTTCCTTTGGAGGAGGGTCCCAGAGAAGAGCCCCTGAAGAAGACCTTACGGTCCAGGGAAGTAGATATGGGGCAAGGCGTTCCTTCAGATTGCCCGGCCCCAAGCCATTTAGCGCTTTGAATGTTAATACTAGCATTCTGAATCGGGCCTGGACTTCAGCAGGCAACCAACTGGAAGACGAATGGCTTAATAAACCGGTCTCCATTAACAATTTTGCTGCCGTGTTTTGGAACAGTTCTCAAAGGCATCCCCATGTACAGTGCATTGCCATAAACCAAAGAGGTTACCAGAGCTTGAATTACTGTAGCTAGGCTTTATCTGTCATAGTTGATACGTATATCACTTTAAGCTGATAGAAGGTGCTCCGTGCCACTAAGTCCACTTGTGACTCAAGTGACAGTTTTGGATCGAGGAGCACCCCAAACTACAAACCTTGTCCTTTAGGGAGAATGCAACCCCATCCAGAACAGGGTGAATACCACCCACTAAGAGCACCTCCGTCATGTCTGGATTGAGTCTCAGTTTGTTGGCCCTCATCCAGGCCATTGCCAAGTTCAGGCAAGTTGTTTCAGAATGTGTGAAGCAATGTATCATTATGACATACAAAGTGGCTCTAAAAGCTTAATTTTGCTAAAAGTATCAAACAGCCAGTGGCCAGCCTCAAGAAAAGGGGAAATCATTGAATTGCAAAGTTGAATTTCTGAATAATGGAGAAGAATTTGGAAAATTCTCATTTGCATACAATTGAGTTATATTTTCTCTTGTTCAGTTTGCCTGCTAAACTTATCAATGGAGGAGTTGCTGGGATCATTGGAGTTACATGTATATTTCCAATTGACCTGGTTAAAACCAGGCTACAGAATCAGAGAAGTGGACAGCAAATCTACAAAAGCATGTAAGTGACCTTTGCAAATGAATAACTGAAGGTACAACCATATGTGTCCTTAGACTGAAAGAAACTTAGAGCTCCCAGTGTATATTGGATGTTCTAGGATTTTTTTCCTGTCTATACACGCATAGGATTGTGCCCTTATGCCAGAGATATTATGCTCTAAAACCCCATTATAGAGTTAGTAGGCTCAAAAGTTATGTTGCTCTTCACATGTCTTCATGTTTGAGCTCTGCTTGAGGGCCCAGTTCCATTTTAGAGAGCTGCAAGGGACTGCATGCCAGGAGTGGCAGGATGAGGGCAACTGGGAGGGGGCCAAAAATACTGGTATGTTATAGACTAAAGCTCCTGCCATTCATAATTAAGCCATAGGAAAAGTACTTCAAAATTTTAGATGCAGGGGAAGGGGAACTGTGCAAAACTGGGAAATGCCCAAACATTTGGGACTTTATTGGCCCAAATGTTATTTTTAATGTGTCATTAGGTTTTGTAAAGGAGGAGATCAACAGGAGAACTCAGGAGGGGCAGCTGTGGCCTCAGAAGATTTGGTTCCTAGGCCTCGGGTTTTCCAGCCCTGTTTTGCTTCTTGTTGTTGTTGCTAGTTGTGAAGTCATGTCCAACCCATTACAACCCCATGGACAACATTCCTCCAGGCCTTCCTGTCCTCCACCATCCTGCAGAGTCCACTTAAGATCACACCAACTGCTTCAGTGACTCCATCTAGCCACCTCATCCTCTGCCATTCTCTTCTTCTTTTGCCGTCAATTGTTCCCAGCATAGGCTCTTCTCCAGTGAGTCCTTTCTTCTCATTAGGTGGCCAAAGTATTTGAGTTTCATCTTCAGTATCTGGTCTTCTAAAGAGCAGTCAGGGTTGATCGCCTCTAGGACTGACTGGTTTGATCACCTTCTCCAGCACCACAATTCAAAGGACTCAATTCTTTGGTGCTCAGCCTTCCTTATGGTCCAACTTTCACAGCCATACATTGCAACTGGGAAAACCATAGCCTTGACTATACACACTTTTGTTGGCATGGTGATGTCTCTGCTTTTTAGTATGCTGTCTAGATTTGCCATAGCTTTCCTCCCCAGGAGCAAACGTCTTTTAATTTCTTGGCTGCAGTCCCTGTCTGAGGTGATCTTGGAGCCCAGGAAAATAAAATCTGTCACTACCTCCATTTCTTCCCCATCTATTTGCCAGGAAGTGAGAGTACCGGATGCCATGATCGTAGTTTTCTTAATGTTGAGTTTCAAGCCAACTTTTGCACTCTCCTCCTTCACCTGCATCAAGAGGCTCTTTAGTTCCTCTTCACTTTCTGCCATTAGAGTGCTATCATCTGCATATCTGAGGTTGTTGATATTTCTCCCAGCAATCTTAATTCCAACTTGTGATTCATCTAGCCCCGCCTTTCTCATGATGTGTTCTGCATATGAGTTAATTAACTTGGATAGTGAGCTGTCCAGCAAGGCTGCTATCCTCTCTAATTCCTCAATCCATAATTAAATTACTGCCCTGGCTTCAGATGACACAAGAACCCCTTGTGGTACAAAAGTCCCTAGAATAAATCAGGGATTGTCAGTTTGGTTCATTCCCCAAAATAAGGTGGCCTGAGTTCAGATTACACAACAACCTATCCATCAGTGATAATGGAGTGGTTTTCTTATATAAGGAACATTACATCTATCATTAAATAATTATGTGTGGGTGGATGGGGAACACAAATAACAAGTTTGTTGAAAACTAAGCCTTTTTGTTGTCTGGGACACAAACATTTCATATGCTGTGTTTCAGTTTTGCTGTGGTAATGTGGTTTTCTAAATTCTTTCTGATTAATTTTTTAAAATGCATTCAGAATAAATATTGATGGATAGCAATGAAAGATTATTACTAAAACAGTATCTAGAATTACTCAAAGTATCCAGAAATTCACACACTGTGTGTATTGTTGTGTCTTGATCAGGTTGGATTGCCTAATTAAAACGCTTCGTTCAGAGGGGTATTTTGGCATGTACAGAGGTAAGTTTCCCAAACACACACACAAATATTATGCTAGGGAAAGCTGAAGGTGGAAGAAGAAAAGGGAGACCAAATGTGAGATGGATTGGCTCCATAAAGGAAGCCACAGCCCTGAGTCTACAAGAACTGAGCAGGGCTGCCTTGGGCAGGACATTCTGGGGGTGGGGTCCATTCCTGATGTTGTGTGTGTCAAGTCTACTCTGACTTAAGGCAACCCTATGAATAAAAGTCCTCCAAAATGTCCTCTCCATGACTGCTCCATTCAGCCTTTCCAAGTTCAAGGCTGTGGCTTCCTTTATGTAGTTAATTTGTCTCATATTTGGTCTTCCCTTTCATCTTCTGCCTTCAGCTCCCCTAACTTCCTTTCAGAGGGTTTCCATAAACCAGAGGTGACTTGACAGCAGATATCAGTAATGACGGTGTTTGGTTTGACTTAAACTCTTGATTGTATTCTCACAGTAAATGAAATCCATGCTGGTATGAAATCCTCGCCCTCCCCAACACCCCATCTGTATGCCCCAAATCTGCTGTAGGGGGTAGAGGGATCCTCAAGCAAATGTACAGAATAGGTGGGGAGCTGTATGGGCAAGAAGAGGATGAGGAGATGTTTGGGCCAGCCTTTGATTGTAGTGTTTCCCATCCTGGAAAATGAGGCTTCTAGATTTCAATTGCAGCCCTAAAACACTTTTGCTAGGTAGCAGGGCCACATGGCTTTTAGCCATTCAAAGCTTGGCTGCTTAAAACAGAAGAAGCAAAGTGCAATACATTGGCTGCTTCAGATTTGCTGCCAGCTTTGGAAGGTAGCAGTCGGACACCGGTGACAAGCGGAGCGTCTCAGCTCACAAACTTAAGTTTCGAGATTGCCTCTAGGCTGCCATCTCTTTTCCGTTTACTGCCAAGACTCCTGATTTTGTGGCAAATGAGATCGGCCTCATCAGCATAGCAGGGTCATGGGTAAACATTTCCCATGTGATGGAAAATGTGTCTTAAGGCTACTAATAGAGGACTGAAATAATAGTGCATACTGTTACTTCAAAAGCGTGGAGGAGTTCTGCATCTGTTTCTAATGTTGCAATGCTGTAATTATTTATTTTTATTTATTTGTGGATTTATATCCTGCCTTTTTCCAACAAATGGCTCAAGGCAGCTTACATCATTCTCCTCCTCCATCTTATCCCCACAACAACAACCACCCTGTGGGGTAGGTTGGGCTGAGAGTCTGTGACTGGCCCAAGGTCACCCAGTTGGCTCCATGGCTGAGCGGGAACTAGAACCCAGATCGTCTGAGTCCCAGTCCCATGCTCTTAACCACTACACCACACTGGCTAATTATTCATTTCCTAAGAGATAATGGGTCTCTGCCAGAGGAAATGGCCTTACATACCACTAATTAAAGCATATTTATCATGCATTTGAGTTTTTAAGCAATTTCGTTTTTAAAATTACTTTTTATTAAGTAGATTCATTTCTGCAGTGCCCATGAAGAAGAGGGGATTGCCTTGAAATATCTTGGGCTAAGAAGCATTTCCAACATGGGCCAAGGTTCCCTCTGTCATGGTTTCTGCAGCAGTGTCTATCCTTTCCTCACTTCCTGCTTTTGCTACTACTAGTCAGAACCTGAAACTTTTTCTGGACTAGATTGCTACTAATTTGGGTCACATTTTAAAACAAAAAGCCCCTTCTTGGACTCAATTAAACACACATGTGTTTATTTTTAGGTGCAGCAGTGAATCTGACCCTTGTAACACCAGAGAAGGCTATCAAACTGGCTGCTAACGACTATTTTAGACACCTTCTTGCCAAGGATGGGTATGTTATTTGAGATGCTAGAGCACTCTCATTTATACCTTACAGAAGATCTATGCCTGTACTTGAATGCAAAACCTTAAAGCTGTTTCAGGTTTTATGTTTTATATTCCATTGTATATTTGAATGTTTTAAGTACACTGGCTTCAAATCTGTTTTGATTTATGATTTGTAATAGTTTATAATTTATTTAATAAATTTATAATTATCTAATATGTTAATAATTCAAAAATAAAGAAATAAAAAAGAAATCATGCAAATGAGAAGTTATAGGGAAAATGTGATATTACTAATTATAAACAAGCAGAGAACAAGTAAACTTCAGGAAATTACAAACAAAACTTATTTTTGTTGAGTAGACAAGTTTTAAAATGAGCAGCAAGTAGAGTCCTTGCAAGTCTTATCACCTAGCTTCTCTTCATGGCTTTTCGATCTCAACCCTTAACTTTATCCTGTCTTTAATCTTTGCTGCTTCCTAAATCAATGTACTGAATTTTGCAAAATAACAGGTACTGGCATAAGAATAATGTGCCTATACTAAGCACATCTTTTGGAAAACTTCATAATTTCAACAATTTGAGCTTGGGAATGGTCATTACAAATTATAAAAGTGGGGAGAAAAGGAGAGAGAAGAGGAACAGAGTGCAAGCAGCCCTTTCTACAGCCCTGTGTGGACAAACAAAACAACGTCTATGCAACTAAACTCATTAGGAGAAGCTGTGGCCTCCTAGACTGTGTTCATTCCCATTCTTGTGCCATAATTTATTCTGCTTCATTTGATTCATTTTTCAAAGTTTATTGGTGCAGAGTTGGTGTTTTTCCTTTACAAAGCCCTTTCCCCTTCCTCCTCTTCAAGCTTAGATATTATAGTTTTTAAGATACACGATAAATAAGATATTATGTAAGATATATTATAATTACTTTGGCTTTTTATTACAGGATAGCCCTGTCTTTATCTAAGGAGATGATGGCAGGCTGCGGTGCTGGAATTTGCCAAGTTATTATCACCACTCCTATGGAGATGCTGAAAATCCAGCTGCAGGATGCAGGGAGACTAGGTAACAGCACGCGCTGCCCTTTCGAGACTCAGCCCTGAGAACTGGGTGCTCACACATTGAAAGGCCTCTGTGTAACGCTCATACATAAATTGCAATACACATTTATTTGTAGAACAAGAGATGTTCTGCTTGGTTTAGGTTTCATATTGATTTCAGTTGCCATAGCCTGAATCATTAACAACCTGGTGGTTTGTAGCCAGGAACAGGGACTAATTAAAGTCTATCTGGTGTTTACAGAACTGTATCTTTTGAGCCACTGACAGACCTAACGAAGCTTATACTTTCTGACTGAGAACATTAGGAGTATGTCCGTTGAGCATTCTAAATTAAGAAGGCAAGTTTCTGGTATTCTAGCCATTCTGGCAACTGCAGAAAAATACCTTTTGCATGGCCCTGTCTGCCAAATGCAAGGAACATTTGAATACATTGTCCAACTGAGGTGAAATGCAGTTAGACAAGATACAACAGCAGCATGGGCAAAATAATGTAGAGGAAGATCTACTTTGGACAGAAATAGAATTGGCCCCAAGACCATGAAATATGGTTGAAGAGTGAAATAAGAGACCAGAAACAGTTAGAAAAATCAGAGTCTGCTATAGGAGGCAGAACCCCATTTTTCCCAAGCTATAACCTTGTTCTAAATTACACGTTTGCAACTAATAATGATATGGAGCAGGTCCTCTTCCCTGCTAGCTCCATCCCCTGCTTGCCCACACGTTGGGGGAAAGTCTGAAGAGATGAAACCGAGCTTCCTTCTCCCACCCCCATGGTTTGGAGCGCTGATTGCATATATTTCCAGTTTTGGGGGACCTTATGCATGTAGAATAAGTTTTCTTCTGGTTTGCAGCAAACTGGTGGCCAGCAGAGGCTCTATTTCAATGGAATTTGCAAATTCCAATGACAGAAGGGATTGGAAGGATTTCTGGAATTGTACCTCCAGCTATTCACATTTAGCATGTATGTCAGATTTGCCTCTGCTGAAGGCAAAATCAGATTTTTCAGAAGCCAATGAGCTTGACACATTTTCTACTTTTTTTCAGCATCTCAGCAGCTTATTAGCAGAGTCCCTTGCCCAGCTCCTGGATGCAAGCTTCTGTCTCTCAGCCCTGTTCCAATTAGAGCATATAATGCAGGACTTGTTTCTTTTCCAATGAAGATCTCTGCCACTCAGATAGCAGCTGAGCTTCTGCATACTCAGGGCATTAAAGGCCTCTACAAAGGTCTTGGAGCAACCTTGCTGAGGTAAGCCTGGTGCATATCCCTTGCCTTTATCAGCCCCAGGGCAATTATACATATACCTTTATGAAAATAAAGAAAAATTGTCTTCTAGGGATGTTCCATTCTCCGTCATCTATTTCCCGCTGTTTGCCCATCTGAATAAAACAGAACGAGATTGCCTGGAAGAAAGAGCTCCCTTCTTTCGATCTTTTCTTGCTGGTTGCATGGCTGGTTCTGTGGCAGCTGTATGCGTCAATCCTTGTGATGGTAAGATAAATTTTGTGTCAATCTCTCTCTCCTGATCTTTGTGTTGTACAGAGTTTCATCATGATCCATACATAGCCATAGGAAAAGACTGGCAAAAGGATGTTACTTGTGAATCTTGGAAGGTATCCTCCATCTGTTTTGGGCTTTCTGTGCAGGGAAGACTGATACGTTCAGGATAATACAGTGGCAGCGCTGAACAGGTGCAGACACACATTTTGAGGTTCACCTACATTCATTGTCTAACTTTTTGTTTTGCAGTAATAAAAACTCGTCTTCAATCAATGGGCAAGGGAAGAAATGAAGAAAATTATAATGGAATTATTGATTGTGCAAGGTAAGAAGGCAACAACCCACAGAGCACCATGAATTGCTTGACTGTTTAACTGGAATATAATCAAATGCCATAGTTTTAAATATGTTAAATGTGGGGGTGTGAAAAGTATTTGCCCCAGAATCCTGTACAGTCAGGTGAAGGTAGCTATGAGCTCTCATACAATTAGGAATACCTGATTACCTTTAAGCACATTCTTCTAACATTTGCAAGATATATTCCATATGATAGAATGCAGAATTCCTGTGCAAAATCTCCATGCTGTTAGATCCACCTATGCAGAAGCAGTTTTCAAGTGTTAGAGCTATTACCATGCAAGCTTTTTTTTTGGGAGGGGGGTGGGGGGGACTTCTACATGGGAGTGATAACCATTGAATCTGCCATAAACAGTTTGGAATCATACCCATCTCTTGTAAAATTTAATCTAAGAGAGTAAGATGAATTACAACTGCAGGAGGAATTGGATGTTTGGGTTTTGGCAAAGATATGCAGAGAGATCCTAGGGTGAACATTTTAAGATACGGACACAGCAATGGTGATATCTATTTTAGTAATTTATTGCTGATTTTGTAACGAAATATTGGGTTTTGTTTTCTCTCTTAGGAAGATTTGGATTAAGGAGGGGCCCTCTGCCTTCCTAAAGGGAGCCGGCTGCAGAGCACTAGTCATTGCTCCTCTCTTTGGTATAGCCCAAGTGATTTACTTTATCGGTGTTGGAGAATATCTTATTGAGCGATGCCAATATGGAAAACTTTCCCCCTAGAATTTCTCATTCATTGGACCTACTAAAACAGATCCATGAGAACTACTGGTCAAGATGCAAGTAAACTGTGGCAGTTCAAGTCAACCTATCAATGTTTCTTCCATTTGGAAGTTTGAACTCAAAAAGCCTTGTTAAATGTTGCCAGATTTCAGAATGCATATATCCAGGTTAGCCAACTGACGAAGGGTGAGATTTGTGTGTCTGTCTTGTGATCTTGTGATCAAAATACGGACACCAGGATTGTAAGATAGACATCTGTATGTGTAAATAGAGGTGTGTCTTTTAGTTCCAGAAGCTGAGAGGTTGGAGACACTGAAAATGGAATGACAATGGCCACATTTATGAGATGGAATGACAATGTTTATGGGAGGCTGTATTAAAAAGCACATTTTTAATTACAAGCAAAGCAAGAATAAAAATTAAACATTTGGGGGGCCAAATCTTATGAACTGTTGTGAAACAAACCAGGTGGTTATTCTTGGAGCAGATGCTATACATCTATCCACTTGCAATCTTTTCAGCTACAGCAAAGTAAAATTCAATAAAATTCTATTTCACATACCAGAGGTAAATCAGGGAACAAAAACATATGACTTTTTATACACCTATGCTTTAATTTTATGTAGAGTAAAGAATTTGGTTCCTATGGTGACTAGTGAATACAAAGCAACATAATGCAAGTGTTTGAGGCAAAGTAAGCTAAATATACACTCTGTGTTTTGCATACAGAAGTTCATAAATAGCTACCAATCCAAAGATTCCTAAGATGTTCTCTAGAACTGTAGTTCATCTGGGAAACGAGGGATGTGCCTGGTTTTAACACTACTTGTTGAGCAACCAAGCTGCAAAGCAGTCTTTCTTGGTGGGCAATTGTACTTACATTTTATTAATTTAAAATATAGAACCCTATATTCCAGGGGTTTGCCATTTGTATGTACAGAATTTCTATATCACTGGGTTCATCTGAGAGGCTGTCATCAGTGGGAAGTATGGGCATAATCTTTTTTTTTTTTTTTGAGGGAACTATGAACTGATCCCTACATATAATGTAAATTTAATGTATGCCATGCAAGAAGCAACATACTTTTAATAACTCTTGCATAATAATAATAAAAAAGTTCAGATCCATGTGGTGACAATCGGGGTGTGTTTTTTCTTTACCATATCCTTGCTAAATACCCTTTGCAATCTATGCTTACTGCTGAGGACTTGAACTAGGTAAGGGAGAACCACTGCAGTTTCTATTAAATGTTTAGATATGCATATCCTCAGGAGTTTTAGTAAATACATTGGTATAATTACCGCTTATTTGTTTGATAAATTGAAATGGAATCAGTCTTCAATTTATCAAACCAAGTGAGTTTGCCTTACTTGCCTCTCCTTTATAATCATGGTTGTTCTGCACAGTCAATATGAAGGGCATCTTTGCGGGGAAGAGGGCAATCTTCACAGGAGGCTGGTAGCCTCTGTGCTGTGGAATTCTGTATACATCTCAGCTTTTATTTCAAATTTTATAGGATTTGGCCTATCTATGCTGCTGAACCCCTTATCCAAAATAACTTCAGCACCATGAAACACTAGCTCAGAATAAAAGCTGCAATGGATAAGCAGTCTCACTGATAGGAATCTCCCGCTTCCCCTGGCCACCCTGGGGAAGGCACCCAAGGTCCTACTGCTTCACAGCAGCTACAGTGAAAGGTAGGGCTGCCTTTTAGTGCATTTGGGACTGGTGGTTGTTCACACATTAACTTCAGGTGCAGCATAGTTACAGGATCTGTTGGGAGAAGCAGGTGCCTAGGATTCTTCATGGCCTCCCCCAGTGTGCCCCATTCTAGCCCCTAGACTTGCAGCTCAGACCTGGTGCTGGTGCTTTCTGCCCCTGTGCCAGCAAGGCCTCTTCCAACGAGAGGGACAGCAGCAGTAGAATATGGCCCTCGGCCGTCCTCCCTGACATGTTAGGGTTACTTTATTACCATATGTGCTTTCATGGGCAAGTTACTTCTGGTGAAGTAGTCTCTCACTTCTATCACTTAGGATAAGTTAGTCTTTTGGATACCACAGGAGTTTTGGTGCCCATCGTTTTTTATTTATTTAAAGGTTTTATATGCCATCCCATTACTAAAAGTCTCTGGACGGCTTACAAAGAACAAAAAACCAAAGAACTATTACTATCTGGTACAGTAAAGTATTGACCATAACCAATCAACCAAGGATAACTATATCAATATTGCACTTTGCGCTATTTGCAGATAAATCTGTGCTTTGCACAGCAGTTCTAATGTCTGGTGCAAATCCCCCTTTTCAGCTATCAAAGTAAGAAAGTAAGGAGCAAATTGATCTCCCTCTTTGCCCATGAAGGTGAAATGAAGCCAATTAAGAAATGCAGAATTCTTGAGTCCTTTTGCCCCACCCTGCCCTGAGAGCACAAGCTTGTAGTTACACTTTCATAACTGTAATGTTGTTGCATGCCGATGCTGCAGCAGCTTATTTTCTGGGTCTGTGAATGCTACGCACTTTTAAGCTTATTTTTTTCCCTGCAAATAATTTGACAGAACCAATATTGGATATGCCACCCAACCCGTTTATTCTTGACTGCCAATCATCTGTCATCTGTCAGCAGAGAGGTTTTGGGTGCAAGAGAGGTGGAGAGGGGGAGGACGCCAGAACTTCATGGACTGTGTAATTTCTGAGGTGAAGTGCAATAACCGGTGCGGCTCGCCTCCTGAACGCAGTCGCTATAGTCAGTGTTGCATTTTCCGCATCTGCAGCTCACCGCCACTGGGTAGGAGAAGTAGGAGGCAGCCTGGTGTTGACAGCCGGGGATCATCACGGTCCTGTACACCATGTCCTTGTATGTGCACACTTCCTGGGACAGGGCACTCCGGGGGAGCAGTTTCTTACCATTGCTGTCCTGAAAGGGAATGCCAAGTGGTTATTCTATTTCTGATTGCTTGGTTGAAACCTACACAGATGATTTATGTTGTGCTCAGAAAGCAATCTCTCCTCCTCTCTGCATCACCTCTTCCTTCTCCTCCCCAATGGTCACATCTCTGTTACTGCACGGCTAAAGCGAGAAGAGACATCCTGATGAGGAGGGTTCGTCAAACAAATCCAAGCAATGGCACATGCACTGTGATGCGTTTGCTACATGTTGCTCAGCAGCCTCCATGGTTCTTGGGAATGGTTCCCTGAGGAAGTGTTGCTGAGTTATCCTAAATGATACACAACATATTGGTTGGGCTTTGACAGAGGTCCTTCAGATGGTAGCTGACCTGTGAAAGCCTGGCTTAATAGATTGGGACTTCTCCAAAAGCTTCCTTTCACAGCTTGTTTTGCTTTGCCCAAATGCAACACGGAAGTGTTCAGTCTCTTAAGAAGGAAGTCCAAAGTCAAACCTTAGGCCCATTTAGCTCATTAAAAAGTAGATTTGGGCCAACAGGCCATCAGGTCCAACTCCTTGTCAGTATTTTCCATACTGATCTGCAATGGCTTTTCAGAGTTTCTGATGATGCTTTGGATCGAATCTGGGGCTTTCTGTATACAAGCTTATGCCCTGCCATTGCACTATAGCCCAGAGGAAATCTGGCATTCTATCTCAAGGAAATAATTTCCTTCAAAACAGACCACATTTGTATTTTTTTATACTTTGTAAGCCGTCCTGAGAGCTTGAAGCGATAGGACGGGGTATAAATGTATGTAATAAATAAATAAATAAATTTGTTTGTTCGTGTGGCATTTCTGTTAATGGTTATTTTTTCACCATCCAATTCACTTGGCCCTGTCTCTCTCTTTTATAGGCTACTCTTTGTCCCTCTTGTATTATCTTTTGGTTTGTGTTATTCTTTTTATGTGCATTCAAAATTGTATTTCTTGATACTTGTTCTTTCTGAATTGGTTCCTTAGCCTGTGTAATTGCCAGTTGTTTTTACCCAGTCATCTAGACGAAACTGTGTATCTTTCCTTCATGCCACAATACATTTCAGAAGACCTAGCTCATTTGTTTTTGTTCAGGCACACTGCTAAGAGAAATATTTTATCATTAGTTTTCATTTTTTCATATCCAGTTTGTTGCCAATGCATTTTTCCCTTTTTGTCTTCATCTTGGCAAAGTTAGTTTCATCTCGTCATCTACTGCTTACCTTTATCCTTTCATCATACTTAATTCTGTTGTTCTTATTGTCACTTTGATCCAGTCCCCTATTTCTCTGGCTGTGCTTAGGCAGCATCTCTGAAGACCAATGCAAAGAACTTCTACGTTAGTGCTACCATGACTTTAACCCTAATTTAGCATCAGATGTTTGACAAATGTACACTGTTCACTTTCTCCTGCTTCCTAACCGCTGTCATTTCCTTTCATTCCCTAACCTGCTGCACTGATAAACTGATTTAAGAGGACAAAGTGGCTCCTGGTCTAGTCAGTTTCAGAAAGAAGCTTCTTATTATGAGTTAGGAGTGGAAGTACAGGGAGGGAGGGACTATTTTTAAACATTAGGAATATGTTCTTGAAACGGTGGGATGTTGTGGGACAGTAATGAGAGCACTGCAATAGATGACAGTGTTTCTCATCCCTTAGATCTCTTTTGCCAAATCTTCCCTTAAAATACCTAAGCTGCTACTTAAACTCTGTGGTTCTTCTGCCCCACTTTCTTTTCCATTTCCATTATTTGTGTATGTTCCGGCTCATTACATTTCCTTCCCCTTGATATGTACACTGTTCCTTTTCTCACTTCTTTAGCAAAGCTATTCCTCTACATTTCACAAAGATGATTGTTTCTGATCCTGGTGTCTCCTCTCCTGTTTTTAGCCTCCTACTCCTCTCTGCACCCCAATGATCCTTTTGGGCTTCTCTACACAAGACATTGATTGTGTGCCTGTGATCTCTCATTCACATACATTTTTGGGTGATTCTCATGATAGCATCCTCCTCTATGGCCTCTCTCATGTTTTTCAGAAAGGTTTGTGACTTAAAAAAAAGCAAGGAAAGTCAGCTATTAAATTTCAAATGTAGAACAAGCTGGAATCAATGTCTTGTGTGTTGTCGCAGTTCTATTATACTGCAGTTACACCACACTATCACTCTGTGGTTGGCTAACAGGAGAGGTAGAAAAGTGGGAAAAAAACCTTAGTGGAGGGAAAATCTGGTAAAGGGAACACTCTTTCTCCCACAGAGAAAACAAAAGTCTCAAACAAGAGTTAAACACTCATGTTGACTTTGTAGATTAACTTTGTAGGAATGCAATGAATTGTCTGTATCCCAACTACAACAGTTCCTAGATTTCTAAGGACTGCTAGATGTAATAAGAGAAGTCACTCTCACCCTTGCAATGTGTAGACCTACTGAGTGTAGTTTCAATAGCTCTTCCTATGTGCTAGTTTTGTGACTTTCTCTTTCTGTTCATTCAAGAAAAGCACCTTTTCCCTGCCAAAAGCTAACCAAGTACTGTATGAATAGATGCAAGAGTGTCTTCCAAGAATGTACCCAGGTCATGCAGAATCCTTCACAGATGGTAGTGTTGATAGCCAGACAATAGGCACACTCTCTCTTCTCCACGTGGATGACATATTCAACAGGAATGCAAAGGGACATGCTCTGCCCCAAAGTCAAAGCAAAGACTAGGGGGAGAGAGATGAAGAGGGTGGGCTTCATGCTGGAGACAAAGACAAAGACAAAGCAACGTTGAATTAGCATGTAAAAGAAACTGGGTTCACTCTCCCAGGTCATAATGTGTCTTCCCTGCCTCCATCCTCAAACTGTAATTTAGAACCAAAATGTTGAGCCAGGTCATGATGCAGGAGAAAGCTTCTGAGCTAAGCACTGTATTATGTTCATCTGTGAATATGAGGAGAATCCTGGGGAAAGTGAGCTGTTTTGCCTTGTTTTCCCTTCTCAGATGCTTCTATGATCATCTTATACATTATACACCTGATACAAGAACCTTCATATCAGGGCCACATTTCCCTTCTCCAGTTTTCATCGCTTTGAACCTCCACAACAGGAGTTCAGCATATGGATTTGATTTTCCAAATTCAGGCCCTCTAGGTGTATGCATATACACTCAGACATGTTTATGTGGATCTTTTAAAAGTTGAAGCAAAGAAGCACTAGAATTATGATGATCTTTCCTTTCTTTAAGCTAACCAAGAACCAAAAATTGATAGAATTATAAAAGGCCCTTTGGTCCAACCACCTACTTAAAGCAGAGAGAACTGTTCCTCAGAGATGGCTATTCAGCTTCTGCTTAAACTAAAAATACCAAAAAATTTTCAGACTTTCCACACAGAACTTGATTTCTACACTCCACATCATTCCGATTATCCACCTCTAGATATGTTCTAGCTGGCCACTGGCCACCTCAAAATGTTGCACCTAGAGCTAGACACAGTAGTCTATATGCAACCCAACCAACACAAAATAAAACAGAATATCTCATGATTTACTGATCTCATTACTATGCTTTTTTCATGCATCCTAAGATCACACTCACAATTTTAGAAGCTCATTGCACTGCTACTTGTGATTAACTAATTCCTAGGTCTGCTTTACATGTACAGCTACCAAGCCACATCTCCCTCAACCCACATTTGTGGCTTTGATTTTATTGTACCTAAATGTCTGTTGAATTGCATCTTGATCTTGACCAAATATTCTAGCCTGGCAATATTGTTTTCAACTTTGATTCTGTTTTCTGCTGTGCTCACTATCTCCCAGTTGGTGTCATCTGTAAATCTTAGACATATCCTTTCTATGAGCTCATCCAGCAGCGCTTTCAGAGAAGATGCCACTGCCCTGCCTTGTTCATGTCTCCTACTCATAACCATCCCATGTTTTCCCACCACTTCTTCCACCTCTTGCTTTACCATGAAAAATCCATTAAGAGTGAAAAGATAACTTCTGATTATTGAGTTAGGGACCTTCCTTTTGAAAGCATCCCAGGTTTCTTATACACACATACATGCATTCATGCAGACATCAATACAGGGTGGCAAACCAAGAGCCAAAGATAATTACACTGTCCCTCCTTCAAAAAAAGGGCATTTTAAACAAAATGTTGAGAATCTGGATCTCCTGATTTAGTAGAGCTGTTGCTTGGTGGAAAGGTGCTCCAGCTAATACTGAATTCTGGCAAATGAACATAACCACAGGGCACTGACATCAGAGAATCACCCCTGAACCACCTTTGGCCGATGCTGCCACTTCCCAACACAGAGTATGCTCCCTAGGAAAAAGTTGTTATTAATTCCAAGTTGTACAGTTAGAACATTGGTTGTCAATAAAAGATGCAAACATCTGGAACCCACCTATGAACTCTGCAGGGATATCCAATGTCAGCCAGCTGTTTCCTTCAAGGAGGAACCTAGTTCTGCATTGAGATTGATCTAGAGGCAGTAACTGTAGCACAAGCACCGAGTGCATTTTATACTCTCCTGCTTAATTCCTGGCTGATCTCCCTGTTTATATAATTGCATTAATCACCGCTTCTAATCATGGTAATATCTACTGAAGACTCATACTTGAGAACAAAGGAAATGTAATTGGAATAAGCGGAACTACAATATCTCTACCTTAGCAGCTGGACTGCTGTGCTAATTAATTTAACATTGAGTCTTAATTTTTCCTGAAATGAACATAAATATATGTGGATTTAAGAAATCCTTTATTGATAGCCAGGTTAGCCAGGAAACAAATGACATCACAAAAAAGCAGGCACAGTTTGTGATATATCCCCAGATCAGGACTGTTAGCATAAGCATCAAGGGAGGAAAAAGACACATATGTGAGGGTGCTGTGTGGCCGGGAGACAGGCAGGACAGTGAGTTGCCAAAGGCCAGAAGAAAAAGTGAGAAGTGGATGCACAAAAAAGAGCTGAGTCATTGTAACAACGCATGGCTGAAACCTTGCTAAGAAAATTGCAGGGTGATGGTGTAGCATCATTGTGCTCTCATGGAGAATGAGAAGTGTTTTAGAACACTGGGGTGGTCTTCTAAGTCAAAATATTGGTTTATGGGTTTAAACAACCCAGAGTTGACCTCACAATAAACCATGGACAATTGTTGGGCTAATCCTGAATTAAGTCCTAAATGACCCAGAGTTTTTTGGACATCACTAAATGGTATATTTCCTAATTATTTAATTTACAGTGGAAGTAAGCCATCAGACATGTACTCATAAACAACCCATGGTTTCTTAACCAGGAGTTGTTTGATCATGCAGTTCAGGTGACTAGCTTGCAGTGGTTCGTCAGATGGACCCATTCAGAAAGGATCTTTACCAAGCCTACCTGGAGACACCAGGAATTGCAAGGGAGACCTTATGCATGGAAATTATGTGTTCTACCACATAGTTACATCCCTTCTCCCATGTATTTATTTATTTGCTTTTAAAATGCATGTATATACCACATTTCAACAAACTGGTTCTCAGAGTGGTTCAGAACAGAATAAATAAAAATAATATGAAGTCAGAAGAAAAACTACAACAAAGTGAGCAATGAAAAGCAGCAACTTACAATGATTAAATTGTAATGATTACATTGATTAAGCCTATACAGATTACAACGATTAAGCCTATATGTCAGAGATTTATAGGCTTGAAATACTCTCCATCCCCCCACCATATTTTATATTTATTTATATTTATATTTGCTGGTGCCAAAAGTAACATAATAGGTGTCTTGTGGGAGTTTCCCAAATGGAATGCCACCACTAAAATCTAATTGTATAATATGTTAATTGATAGATTTGTGAGCCGCCCCAAGGCTTCGCCGAATAGGGCGGCATAGAAATTTGCTAAATAAAAGAAAAATAAATAAATTACCTCACCTCAGATAATAGAAAAACCTATAAGAGGCCCTCATTCGATCATCTCAGCACAGTGGAACAGTGTTTCTTCAGAGACTCATATCATGCAAAGAAAAATGGAGGTGCTTTGTGCTTTGTGTTTTGTAATGAGTGTGATTAAAGGCTAAAGAGAAATGGATTTTAATGATTGGGGCAACCATAGTGGTTTCAGATCACTGTGGACACCATGGCTGTATCAATCACACTTCCTTATCTGTAAAATGGGGATAGTGGTAACATCTACCCCCGATCAGTTCATTTACCTATGTGTCAAGACTAACTATAACAACAATATTGAACTGTAGTTTTGCTTACACTGTGGTCTCCTTTTATGATGGCAGCAACTTCATTGCATCTGGTAGGTGGAACCCACTGGAAGGAAATTGAATTCTCTTTGCCAGTGGTAGACTCTTCATCAGCTGCCACTCTTATACTAATCTCCACTTAAATTGCCTTTCACTGGACCATGCCAATTCTCTTCAAGCTTTAATCTATCCTCAGTTAAGGAATCAACAATAAGAAATATAGTTCTCTGTTTCACTTAGCACATAATTGAATTCTTTCCTTCTCCTGAAGCATCCGAGACCAGCTGCTGTTAAAATCTGCAATCCTAAGTGCCCTTACTCAAAAGCAAGACTCACTGACTTCAGTGAGACTCGTTTTGTTTTGTTTTGTTTTGTTTTGTTTTGTTTTGTTTTGTTTTTATAAAAACAAAGCCAACTTTACTGTGCTTCAATGTGGTTTGAATACGTAGTGTGTTCCTTCTGCTTTGCACCAGGGATGTCCTGGTCATAGATGCATATGGCTGCACACGTACTGGATTGGGCTGAGCCACCATGCATTGCAGATGCTACCTGCTCAGGGCCCATGTGCATATACTGGGTAGAGGCTTTATTCTGCATTTGGAATATTTGATAAGATCATTTGATAAAACATTTGTATAGGCAGGATCTTCAATGCAAAAGGCTGGGCACACTGGGAAGTATAGTGAAGGCATGATCCTGACCCAATTCCACCCAAAGCCAACATAAAATACATTTAAACTTTATATAAACTTAGAACACTCTGCACAAGGCTAGCACCTAACAAATATTTTTGGAATGAGTCCTCATGCTTACATTCCAGTTTTCTCAAAAGTTCTTTCCTAAATAGTTGTCCAGGGTCTACCCATCTCTGGCAGTTCTTATTTCTGAGTTCTCAAATAAGAACTGGAAAAGCTTACATAGCACTGCAACTGCATATGTTTGCTGTATTGTCAGCATGGAGTGATACTCTAGAAAGTCAGATTAATTAGTATTGCTCTCTGATACTTAAGCCTCTTTTCCCACTATCTAAATCTATTATTTGAGAATCTGAAAGAAAGGTGAAACAATTGCAAACCGTGGAATGAAGATGGAAAATTGCACTTTAATCAAATATGCCATTTGCTAGTCCATATAGTGGAAACTGCAGTGGCCTGGTTTGTCATTATTTCTGAGCCTAGCAAATTTCCCAGGCTGATGCCCACATGCATTCCCTTGGGAAAGCCTTCCAGGCAGGACGTGCTGCCTCTGCCACAGCATGGCTGCCTGCGCTGATGCCTTCTCTGTGCCTGGCTGCAGGGAGGGAGGCAGCCCCTTCCAGCGCGCATGAGACTCACGCATGGGAGTGGGGAACGCATGTGCAGCAAGGGATGGGCAGAATGGAAGTGTGAGTGTGGGTGGGTATGCTTTCCTGGTGGCAAGGAGCGTGGCGGCACAGGAGAGTGCTCCTGTAGTGCTCCTCTAGAGCCACAGTGCCACACTAGTGAGTAGGCAGTTGCTTTTCTAGACTGCAGTGGGGAAAAATACTTCAGCAGCAGCTGCCAGAGGCCAGGCCCGGGGAGTGTGTGGGACAGCCAGGTATCAGAGGCAGGAACAGTGCATATTGGGATTGATTTTCAGCCATGCGGGTTGATGGAATTCCAGCTGTCAGCAGGACAGATGAAACTAGGGTGGAATCCACTCATGCATGGAAGTCACGAGCCTGTCTGAACCCAAGGTAAGCTACCCTGGCACAGAGCAACCTTACAGCATGGTTTGACATTCTGAGTGAACACAGGCATTGAGTTAGCAGATGTAAGTAAAGTCAACAATGCTTAAAAAGTATATAATATATGCCTTTATAGTTGGGGGGGGGGGGAATGATTTCATAGGAAGCTTCCTCTGTCTCCTTCAGAGGATGAGAATGAAGATGGCCCTGACTTGGCTGATTCTCCCTCACCTCCTCTTTTGTTCACTGTGGCTCACTTAGGAAGTCACATGCCCTGATATGACAGTTTTTATGGTTTCAATTTTTATAGCCAGTGATAGCCCCTTCAAAGTGCTCAGACAGCACATAAATTCTTTTATAAAATTGCAATCACGATGTGTGCAAATGTCTTCATTCTCTTTACATTAGTATTATTTACATGTACTTGCACAACTGCAGACCTCCACAGTCTCCAAAAGCCATGGTGAGCCCAAAAGGTTTGGCCATGATGTGGAGTGGTGAGAAGGAGTCATGTTTCCCCTGTGGTGTTTCATGGGACATCTGTAGAACAACTGAAGGGAGAAGATGGGACGAGCAACCCACAGTGAACCTGACCATCTAACAAGCCTCACTGTGGGAGGTTTGCACGATAACCAATCCACCATGGTTTATGGCCAGACTGAATTAGCATTATGCACAGAGGCACCCATACTGATGTTAAAGAAAACACCTCAAAATGGGCAAATGAATTGTACTGTGGGAGGAATAGGATAAGAAGGCCCAGTCTTTCAGAACTTCTCTTTTCACCTGAACATCTGGATTCCTTTTCAAGTAAGGCCTGTATAGTTTTTAATTGTATCTCTGCAACTGTGACAACTAGAAATGTTTTTAGGATAAAGATCCTGAGTATAAAATACACAGGACCAGGCTCACATCCCTCCAATGTAAGATCTGTCACTTCAGACAGGAGAAAGTTCATTATTTAGACTTAACAGGCTCACTGGGAGAAAAACCCACATGCTTAGAGAAAGGTTTAAAGATTCCATCATGTACCATTTTTCCCTGTCTGCACCATTGCATTGCATTGTACTACACAATCCAACTGGCCACAGGGCATATAAACATACAGGCATTCATATGAACTCAGGATCACAAGCATCCAGTGATATAGCAAGGTATAGCAATGGTGATCTTCACCACATTTTACAACCTGCATTTTCTCTAGATAGCCATTTTTGGACATCTAGATTTAGTGCTGGGAAGGGGGAGAAAAGGAGGCTGGAGTGTCAATTAGAATCCTAATGCATCTGCAGTCCCCCCCTCCCCTCCTTTTACCTGCCTGTGGCCCAGCTGCAACCTTGAGGAAGATGCTGACATGGGTCTTTCCAGTGGCTGCTAGCTACTTATTTTTTTTAAGGCGTCCTGATATTCTGTAGGGGATAGGATAGAAAAGCTTTCAATAAGTAAGTAAGGAAGGAAGGGACAGGTAGGAGGCTTGGCCTTTAGACTCCCAGATTGTTGGAGCAAGGAGTCTGAAAAAATCGTTTCGCCTCTCGGACAATTTCAGGAAGCCATAGGCTTGCACCCTAAGTCTGTATATGTTCTTCTGCTTTATTCCAGATCTTCCTACAATTCGCTTCCTGTTTAAGGCCTTCCCCAATGTGGTATTCCAATTCTGTGTCTGATCTCTGTAAAGCTGGCTTGTTACTCGGTTGGTTATATGACTTGCCCATGTGCCTCTGAATTTTAAGAGCTCATCCAGTGACAGCCAGTTCATGTTTGGATAATTCATATCTGACCTTTCTCTTTACCGAAACAACTTGCTCACTGACCTCAGTAATTTACACTTTCATGAAACAGAGGCTACTATACTGTTGTGTTAGAATAAGATAAGTAATCCCAGGAACCCAAATAAGAGGGCACTGGATGTGCTTCAGTGATAAGAAAGTGCAGAGGATTACTATTTAATAGCATGATGTTACCCATGTTGTACAAACATGAAAACATTTGGAGTGAGAGATGGTCAAAGAGATATAGATTTTGTAGGCTGACACAAAAGTATTTTCCAGCATATGTTGAAAACAGGTATACTGTCAGGTACAAACAGGGTTAGGACTCATGTACTTTTAACATTTATAACAATAGAAATGGCAGGTGCCACATCCTGCAAGGGTAAGGAAAGCTGGTATAATGACTTCTAGCCTGATGCATTATCAAAGAGTGTAAGAAACCCTAGCACAATCCTGCAAAGTTTGCTGTGTAACTTCTGAACTCTGATAATTAATTGAAAATCACCCACTTTCATGATTAGTAGCAATGTTGCATGGCCATATCAGAATTTGATTTGAAAAATTGCCCTCTTTTTTCAAAGCAAAAAAATTGGCCTATGCCTTCATTTATTCATTTAAAATACTAGTTATGTTCGTGATCGTGCAGTGTGTAAAATAAATAAATAATGTATCTGGGTTTCAGTATGATTTTATGAGATACTTCCCAGAGATTGTTTTGAAAAGTCTGGTTGCTTGCTTCTAAATGTAACTCTTCAAGTGTGCTTCTGTATAGTTACTCCTAAGGGTTCTGGCCATGTGCCAAGGTCTATTCAAGAAATTTCTAAAGCAGGACTAGAGTTTTCATGGATGTTCCCTTATAACACTTTGTGCACACCTTCAAGATGGGGTGGGGAGTGGTTCCTGCCTTCCCTTTCAGATCTAATTCTGACCAGAACAGCAACATACAAAGGAAACAGTCACAAAAATTCCCAACTAAGAGCACCAGGCAGAGAAGAGAGTGTATGACTATGCAGATGGCCACCCATTCATGTAGTTTCGTTACAGGTAAATAACCTGTTTTTCTTCTTCATACTCTTTGTGCAATCCCATGGGCCCAGTTGCAAACTTGGTTATTTGGTGGCAGATGCTACGAAGGTGGCAGTGCTAAGAAGCCGAAACGCTGAGCATATCTCTTCCAAAGGAAGCATCCTGTAGAGGAGGAGACAGGCTGAAGGTATGGCAGAGCCCATCTGGTGGAGGAGAAGCAAAGGTTATTGTATAACCAATCCCCACAACGGTCAGCAGAGGCACTATCTGTGTTGACCTTCTGCCACACACCTAAAACGGCTTAGAGGGAGATCCCAAACAAAGGCCAAGTAGAAGCTCAAGTGATGATGGCAGAACATTCAAAGCTGATGCTTAAAAGACTCTAATCCTTCTCATCAGCCAGACAACCCCCGCTTCAGTGTTCAAAAGGTCTTTTTGGCTGATGGGAAGCCATGTGACCTGCTGGTGATCTGTTGGTGACCAGATCAGTCATACATTGATTGCTGGACTCCAATGCCCAAGAAACAAGGTATAATAAGGAGCTTTCACACAAAGTCAAGAATGTCATCTGTGGCTTTGCTATATAGACAAACAAGAGAGACTGTTTTTGGAAGTGCAAAAGTGTATTTGGAAATAAATTTTCTCAATGTGTTTTGAAAATTTCCTTCCTATGGTGCAATTTGCACCTGTTGAACTTATTGGCTCTGAATTTGGTTCAATAAATAAGAAAGCCAGGGTGTTCCTTTTTGCAATTTGCTTCTGACATTTGGTTTCATCTTGCTAAAGAAAAACAGTCAAAAGGAATATCTTCAGTTCAGGTCTCAGCTTCTTGAACAAGACCTACACCACTACATATCTTGAGTCAAAATTTGCCATATGTATGAATCTATTTTTCTGCTTTTCAGTCAGATTAATGTGTCATGATGAAACACTTGTGTGAACTTATATCCATTATCTGGCAGATGTTCTAAGAAGTTAAACCCTTCTCCCAAGTGATGAGTTGTTACAGCTTGATATACAGCAAGAGATAACATCATTTTAGAATGGACCTACTGGCCCATAGCATTCAACTTCCACTCTTTATCAGTGGGTGTAGTGCAAGTCATTCAGCAGATTTAATATGGACTACCTCTGCAAAAATACAGACAGGCAAAGAATGTTTTAAACAGAAACTCTTACTCTGTGTCCAGTAGTTTAAAATTTACTCTATTCTCTTGGATGTAATTGAAAAATTGAAAAAAAAATTGAAATTGAAAAAAAAATGTAGATGGTGCAGTTGATGGCTGCGACAAAGAATGTTAGGTAATTTGAAAGAGTACCAACATCACCAGAACTGAGGTGTGTATAAGGACCAGCTCCCAAAAACATGAAGTGCTACGTTATACTAATAGGTTCAGAATTATGACCTTCTGCAGTACTAGTTTAGCATACAGTCTGGTATCTTTCATTTGTGATACAGGGGCCTCTGATCTCTCACATTAACAATTGGAGAAGAAATGAAAAACATAGAAGTAGACTCCAAATTGGATGAATATTCTGCTTCTAACAGTAGCACCAAGGCTCTCTGAGCAGAAGCGAATACTAGGTTGAAGCCTCAGATCCTGATGGAAGTGCATGTAGTACTGGAAGTACTATCAGTACCAATACAAGATCTACTACTGAAGAAACTTCACCTGATAGCAAGACGGGGTTAGCATGGCTAGCCCAAACAGGAGGACTATAACAATTCCCCACTAGTTTGATATCAACTTCCTTGCCATGGAATACTTTCTTTGCAGAAACCAGCTATTACAAATATAGACAAAGGAAAACTGTGCTCTTGAATTGAGTTATATTGAGATGAAGTTGCTTTCAATAGGACAAAACTATGACTGAGTTTATAGTTCTAGATGCAATCTACTATATGAAAGATATATTGCCTAATTCTTCTGTAAGCAAGTTACAGACAAGATTTTATACTTTCTATAGAAAGAAATGAATATAGTGCAAAACTAATAATCAGACATGCATTACTCTAGGTTTCAGCACACAGCAAATGAGCTTTTCTGAATCAGCGGTGCTATGTTGACTTAAATTTGTTGCTCTTAGATTTGGCACCAGATATTTGTTTCCTGTGATCTTTTGTATAGAAAAGAGGTGCCACTTTAATTCCTATGCCAGCAGCATCGCCGATTACAAGTTAATCATTCACTAGCTATATGAAATCATTGTATGATATTACCAAATCCAGTCAGTTAATGATTTAATTTTCTGCGCACTCACAAAGTGATTATATGGTAACACTCTTGTTGCCTAGGAAGAACTGTTGTTGATAAATCCACTGTTTTCTGAGGCCCTGATGCTGGAAAATATTAATGGTGCAGAACTGGAATGCTGGAAGTGACATTAATTTGTAAGAATGCATTATTATTATTATTATTATTATTATTATTATTATTATTATTATCCTCCTCCTCCTCCTCCTCCTCCTCCTCCTCCTCCTCCTCCTTCTCATGACTTGGAAGGATTGGCTTAGCTCTAGTTCAGAAAAAAAATCCAATCATTATATAAGGCAAAGGTATCTATTGAACAAATCCATCCCCAAGATTTTACTTTTACTTCTGTATTATAATTTGACTACTTCTTCTAATTTTGCTTTTGCCAAACACATATAAAAGGATGCAGCAAAAAGGATATGGTGGTGGTGGTGGTGGTAGTGTGTGTGAGTCAGAAGGTGGTATCCATTTCCTTTTCTTGTCAGCACAAGGGCTTCTGCTAAAGCACATTACTTTGGAATTATATTTTAGGCATAATCTTTGTTGTTTGCTTCATATTTTTCTACTACTAAGTGGTTGGTTATTTGGTATTATCTGCCTTTATCTGTCTTTTCTTTGTCACTCAGTTCCTATGCAGATCACAT